GTCACGGATCCCACATTGGAAGCGCATTGGGAAAATTTTGGGTTTATAACGGAGGAGTCACTCAATCTAATGAGTTAACCTATTAGGTGTAAAACTCCTAGCGTGTGGCAATGATATTAGAGCCTTTTGCTAGTATAGTGTCACAGATCCGTCTTTCGGTGTCCACCCAGGATTGGGTGCGTGAGAGAGAATATCATGGATCCTACTTTGGAAGTATCCACATTGGAAGCATATTAAGAAGGTCTTGGACTTATAAAGGAGAGTCCCTCCACCTAATGGGATAGCCTTTTGGATGTGAAACTCCCCAGTTATTGACAATAACCAACCTAATGGTTAAAGAATTTGCTGAAATAATGTGAAACCCATGCTCAAAATCCAAAAGTTAAAAGTTACAAAAAACATTATCAAAGATGAAGATTAACTTTAATTATCATCCGAAGGTGGATCTAGTTGTGAAACTTTTTCCGCATGACCAGACTTTTTTTTTGTCCACCAACCTTTATTTTACATTCACCACCGAGGGAGACCGGAACCGGAACCTGTCTTTTCTTTTAAAGTTGACAATTATAAAATTAGGGATGGTATATATAATATATGTCAATGAGCATTTAAGCATTCATTAAATACTGAATGCAAAAGTATTCTATTTTTCTTTCCCCCTTGACAAATCAAACTTGTGGTTAAGGTCTTGATATATATACATACAGCTGAGTAGTGGTCGCAAAAGTATATCTAAGTGTATATGGGTCGTTATATGAAAGTCCAATTTAGGTTACTATTTATGATATGATTGTGTGTTTCAACATGCAAACCGCCTGCTCTAAAAAGAAATATAATGAGACCCAAGTCCCTTTCAGAATGTCTTCCCTTAGTATCCAATAATAAGTTGATCAAATAAATTAAGCCTAATTGTCTACATCTTATGATGTCGACCATACTTTTATAACTATATATGTATATTTTGTTAAAGAGTGAGATACTTCATGTTTGTCCTGTTTACCCAAACAAAAAACAAATATAGGCATATGAGTCTTGTTATGTAATATGTACAATATATATGATATTGGCCATTAATACAACAATGTATGAGAGGAATAAATAATATATTTGATATGTAGATCAAATTTCATTTGTTTTGCCTTTAGATTATGATTTGATTCAATGAAGGAGTAACTATCAAGAATTTGTCATAATAATACCAATTCGATTTAATTAAATTATCAGATGCAGATGAATAGTCAGCAGGAATGCATATTCAAAAACATTTATGGTGGTGGTGGGGGCCTGAGTCCGGTAATACTTGGCCTTGGGTAGGTGGGGTTTTAAGATTAGAATATTAGTGCAGTATTAATTAGGTTAATCATCCAGTTAAACAAACGCGTAAATCTTTGTTTCAGATGATCTGTATTCTAACTAACATTGGTAAACAAATACAGTCATTAAGAAATTGAAAATATCAATAGAAAGTCGAAGTTTAGCTTATGGGCTAGGTCATCTAAATACCAAACCTCACCAACTCTCTTAATCCTAATTTATTACTTCACATAACTTGCTTACACAAATTCCAGTACTTCAAAACCAATACAACCTAAATTTCCATCACAGACAAACTCTTAAATTTACTAAACTTTTTAATATTGTTTATAATGTAAATTTTTGAGGAAAAGGAAGGACGTAATATAAAATAAAAGAACGATGGGTCCATACGAATTGGCAAGTTTTTTCTTATAAACTTGACATCAGTGCTGTTGAAAAAGTGGACCAACCAAATTTTATATTTGTATTTTCAAAATTTATTAAAAGCTACCACTCGTACGGCATGTGATACTTATTTACTTATTTATTGGGGAGAACGACTTATACATACCCAAGATTTATCGTAACGACAAGTTGGTACCCAAAAGGTTTTGAAATGACAAATAGGTACTTTCCGTCATGTTCTGTTAGTGATTTCTGTTTATTACTGTTTATTAACAGTGAAAAGACTAAAATACCCTTAAAAGTTTGAATTTTAGTTTTTTATAAATTTAAAAATTTCAAAAAACCCCCTAAGTTTACAAATTTCACTAAATACCCCAATATATAAAAGTTTTATAAAATAACAAAAACACCCCCCACCGGCAAGTGCCAGATTCCGGTCACCATCGCCGGAATCTGGCCGGAAAACTGTATTACGACACAGATCCGACGGATCTGTGTCATAACGTGTCGATCTGGCCTTTTCCGGTCAGATCCGCCACGGATCTTTCCGGAAAAGGCAAGATTTGGCCGTTGAAGCAGCAGCCAGATCTGGCCTTTTCCGGCCAGATCCGTGGCTGATCTGGCCAGAAAAGGCCAGATCTACGGCTAGATCTGGCCGTCGACGCCGCAAAACTCCATCTGCGGCGTCGAAGGCCAGATCTGGCGGTAGATCTGGCCTTTTCCGGCCAGATCAGCCACGGATCTGGCCGGAAAAGGCCAGATCTGGCTGCTGCTTCAACGGCCAAATCTTGCCTTTTCCGGAAAGATCCGTGGCGGATCTGACCGGAAAAGGCCAGATCGACACGTTATGACACAGATCCGTCGGATCTGTGTCGTAATACAGTTTTCCGGCCAGATTCCGGCGATGGTGACCGGAATCTGGCACTTGCCGGTGGGGGGTGTTTTTGTTATTTTATAAAACTTTTATATATTGGGGTATTTAGTGAAATTTGTAAACTTAGGAGGTTTTTTAGAAATTTTTAAATTTATAAAAAACAAAAATTGAAACTTTGAAGGGCATTTTAGTCTTTTCACTATTAATAGACAAAAATCACTAACAGAATATGACGGAAGGTATCTATTTGTCGTTTCAAAACCTTTTGGATACTAACTTGTCATTACAGTAAACTTTGGGTATGTACAAGTCGTTCGCCCATAATATTATATTTATATCAATATTACACATACAACATTCTTATACAATTCTTTTCATACACACATATTATTTAATAAAATATAATGAAATAAGATCATTTCTCATATAATGATAAAATATAATTAATTAATTTAAAATTAAAATTAAAATTTTATTTAATTATATCTTATCACATAATATTATATAAAAAATATCGTGTATATATATATATAAAAAATTCTTTCTCCAAACCGGTGTACGGATTCCACATTCCACAATAGCAGGAGGCAACCCAGTGGCTGGTTCGAAACATGGACGTGATACACGTTTCTCACAAGCCAAATTTAAACACGTCCTCTTTTATCACTGTGCTTTTTACTTCACGGAACATTTATATCTCTTTCCTGGGTCCCATGTGAACGCATAGAGATTACTAGCCGTCGATCTGCGATGATCTGAAGCGTAGTTGGGAGGTGCGTGTGGGAATGTAAATGGGGTTGTGCGTACGATGTGCTGACTCGTCTGAATGAAAAGTCACAACACGTGTTGCTGGCTAGCGGTGTATTGCCTTTCGTACCAACTTGCATCCTCTTGTTCTTTTAATGCCTTATATTCGAACATCAATTACCATTTTGCCCACGCTATGGTAATTTCACGAAGTATTTTAAATAGACATTCAATTCCATTCACATAATTAATACATTTTAGGAATATATTACATTTAAATTAATCAAATAACTCAAACATAACGTTAAAAGTTAAATAAAAATATGACTGTTAAAGTTACCTCGATGTATAAATACTAAATATGTGAATGTATTTTTATATCAATTTATGTATAATTATACATTTAAATTTCTAAAATGATGTGGATTTTATATTATATTACTCAATTTAGTTTACAATCAAAACATTTAACTAATAACTTTATTTTTGCTTGCAATTTTTTGTAGATGCTGATTATGTAATTGATTTTATCTCTAGATCTATTGCCTAAAGTGAGTCTTGGCTTGAATTAAAAGAAATATAAGTTATTGGTTTCATTTTAATTATGTTGTTTTAATTTAATTTTAAACTACTTGTTACTTTCAATGCTTTCACCCATAATTCCATTCACAACACTTAGGGTCTGTTTGGGAGTTTTTTTTTCACTGGTTTTGGGGGGTTTTTAATTAGACTTGTTTTGAGGTATTTAAAAACCTCCACTTGTCAGATTTTTAATAGGCTGGTTTTGAGGGGTTTAAAAACCCCCCAAAACCAGTGTAGTGTATTTTTGAGGGGTTTATAAAACACCCCAAATCGGGGTGTTTTCAATGGTTTAAAACTTTTATCCCCAAAAAACCCCTTTCCACTCCCTTTTACAAATCTGTCGCTGTTGTAGATTCTCTCTAGCACACAAATCTCTCAAATCTGTCATTGCTACACACAAATGGTTTTAATTTGCTGCACATCGTTAACGTCAACCTGCCAAGGCCTCTAAAATAAAAATAAAAAATGGCAATTCGTGATTTTATCTAAAAGACTGGCTACTTCTCAGTTCTCACCACTAAATCAATCTGTGTTCTCAATGGACAAATTTTTCAGTTTAAATGGCGGTGACGAGAAGTCCTTTCATCTTCGTAGTATGGGCCTTCCCCAACCTTCAGTTTCTTAGCTCATTATGTCTGTGGAAAAGTTACGCAAGGAAATAGACAATACCTCTTTTTTCTTTTGAGTATTTACATACACAGACAGTGAGTGAATGATCATTATCTTCTAAAAATCTACCAACACAAACTAAAAGATAAGTTTTCCTCCACATAGATCTAAACAAGGTTTGATCAAAATGAATTATAGAGATAGACCCATCTTCATTTCACATGCACCACTTGGATGATAAACGTTTTAGATGGCGACAGAGCACTAGAAAGAAAGAAAATATCAAAATACCAATCAACATTTCTTTTTACAATTTGTGATTGAAATGTGAAGCACATTTTCTGTAATAATTATGGGGACACTCAACACTCTGCACACTGCAGAGGATTTCCTAGTTGCTACGATAATCCCCCACCCCACTATTGCTAAAAACTTAGACAAATGGGGGAGAAAAAAAAATAAAAATGGAAAAAGAGAAAGAGTGGTTTGTGACCTATCCAATAGCCTGCAAACCTTGACAAAAGAGAATCTCTCTTTTTTTCTTTTTGCTTTTGTGGGCTTTGAGAGTAACGACTTCTTCCTTATAAAACTGCCAACGCACTAACACCAAAATCTTGTTATCTTCGCTCCATATCTACCTCTACACCCTCTATTTTCTCTTTACTATTTTTTGTTCTTAACGGCTTTATGTTTTGTGTGTGAGGAAAAGAGAGAGAGAGTAAGACAGCCAAAGAAAATTTTTAATTATGGAAGAAGAAGATAAGTATATGCCGGCAGACTCTATGCAACAGCAATATTGTAGTGCAAGAATTATGTCACCGGAGATTGTGGAGATAGGAGAAGATAGCTTGAGCGTTACTACAACTGGTGCTACTTCCACTGATGTTTATGTGGCTGTTGGCAAAGATGATTTACATGTCCTCAAATGGGCTCTTGATCATGTTGTTTCTCCCGGAGCTCGCGTTTTTCTTGTCCATGTTTTTCCTCGTATAACTTACATCAACACACCAGGTAAACAATGGATTTCTTCTCCTGCTGTTGATTAATTTAGATTCTTACAGTAAGTTTTCTCATTCTTTCTGGACATTATGTGTGTAAGTTTTTGCAAAAGAACTACTGTTAGGCTGGCTGATCATTCACCTCTTCTGTCACCAACAATCTAGATATAAGAAAAAAACAAAAATTAACCTCCATTCCCGATTTTCAGAGGTGATGAAATTGGTGTTTCGTCTAATTTTTGGAAGACTAAAAATGCCTTTGCCACATCAACCCGCATAATAACCACTCTCAAGAGTCAAGATAATACAAAAATACAAGCGCGGTATCAGCTGACGCAATGGCAATCTGATTAGGCCAGTGATATTGGATCTGCTAGAAACACCACATCTACTACTCACTAAGAAGAAATTTGATAGAAATATGTGACGTGCAAGCGTTAAATAAAGATATTGCCCTCCTTTATTGGGCGTATGATGTAAGTCTATGTATTAAATTTATTTGGTGTGTTGAATTGTTTGTGATAGTTGGAAGATTAGCAAGGAGTCAATTGAACGCCGAGCAGGTGAGGGTTTATATCAACGAAGAGAATAACAGAAGAAGAAACCTCTTGCATAAATACATCCGTCTGTGTACTGACGCCAAGGTGATCCGTTACCCACTCTGGGTTGCAAACTATAACCAAATCCCAAAAGCACCATGAAAATTGACATTACTAGATTCATTTCCCCTGTAACGCAGGTGACGGCCGAGACAATGCTCATTGAGAGCGATGTGACAGCCAAAGCAATTCTTGATCTCATTTCTGTTCTCAACATTACCATCCTTGTCGTGGGAAGAAAACGTCCACCTTATTCCAGGTACAACTAAAGTTTCCTTCATTTTCTTTATGATGTCGATGATCGATCTCTTGCTTGTTTGATATATTGAATTTGGAAAAAAAAAAAATTAATAAATTATGAGGTGGTCGCTTCTTCTTTTGTTAGGCCATTAAGGAAAAAGTTGGGAAAAGGAGAATTCGTCAAAAAGAATGCTCCGGACCATTGTGAGGTCTGCATTGTTCATGATGGGAAGAAGGTTCAGGAGGGTCAAGAGGTAGCAGAGGTTCATTCATCGTTGCCTTCTAGACCTAGAAGGCTACAGATTTCTCGTGCCGTTCAGCGAAACTTCTTCGAATGTTTATGCTTTTCAGGCAAGTTTGATCGGAGCTGAAATGCATGCTCCAATGTACAAGAATATTTCTGTATAAGTAGAAGCAGCCCTTAGATCAATTGAACAAATAGAACTGTAGAAATAATGCCCATGGTTATACTGATCTCAACTCCTACATATCTTTATTTGATGATTTGGAACCACACATGATCTTAACAGAGGATGAGGAGACGAACAATATTTTGTAAGATAAAAATGGACAACATCGATATTAATGTGATGGTCATTAGTCGTTACATTTTCAAACCTTATATATTTTCTTCTTATTGTAATTAGATACTATATTGGACCTCTATATCGAAAAAATTAAGACCATTAGACGGTTAATTTCGATAAATTAGTATTTTTTTTTTTTTTTTGTAAAAAAATAATGTTTTATTGGTCTTAAATAATTAAATTTATAATAACAATAATACAGTATTATTATTTTATAAAAACGAAACACATTAGTAATAGTAAAACAAGGATTGGTCGATTCCTTGCCACTTTGGTGGTTCGTGCCATGTGGTTTGGGCCTTTAGGGCCCAGGTTTAAGGGTGGGCTTCCACTACCTAATGGGCTTTTTCAGCCCATTATCCTTCAGACCCAGCCCAAGTAAAAGCTATTGCCGCGTGTGTCTATTTATTCACAGATATTTTCCCTCCCAAGAGGAATTAACGCGCACCTTCCCTTCATCCTCAAGCGCTTCGAAGAACAGCGCAAGAGGCAAAGTATTTTTTTTTTTTTATTCTTTTTTGAGAAGTTCGTCAACCACAGTTAGTTTACGATGAATCCGTACGATCACAGATATGCCGACCCCAACTCTTACCGACAACGGCGTAGGTAAAGCTTTTAATCAGTTTTTCGGTTATCCAGATCTAGTTCGTACTTTACTCTAATTTAAAACTTACGCCATCTAATTACTTACTTGCAGCGATTTAATGGGCCCACCACCTCAAATTGGGCCAATGGGCCGGGACGGGCCTTCTACGTACGGGGGTCCTCCGCCGGCAGCTGGTTTTTCTGGAAAAGGTCCTGGAGTTGCTGGCGGATCCGTTTCCGGTGTGTATCAACCAGTCGGTAGATTCGATGTTGGTCGTGGCGGCGGTGGAAGGGGATTTAGTAGTAGTAGAGGCCATAGTTCAGATAGAAGAGGCGGTGGACGTGGTCGTGACAGTGGAGGGAGAGGCTTTGACTCGGGCCGCGGTGGTGGTAGAGCTGGTGGAGCTCGTGGAAGAGGAGGTAGACATGGTGGTGGTTCTTATCGGGATGACTTGGATAATATTTCGCTTCCGAAACAAGATTTCGGAAATTTAGTTCCTTTTGAGAAGAACTTCTATGTTGAAAGCCCTTCTGTACGTGCGATGACGGAAACGGAGGTTAAGATGTATCGTGCTAGGAGGGAGATTACCATTGAAGGTCATGATGTTCCTAGGCCGATTCGGATGTTTCACGAGGCGAATTTCCCTGGTACATGTCGCCCATTTTAATTCTATCAAGCTTTTTATTATTGTCATATTTGTTTTCCCTAATTTTTATTGTGATTTCATTTGTTAGATTACTGCCTAGAGGTCATTGCAAAATTAGGATTTGTTGAGCCAACGGCCATTCAGGCTCAGGGTTGGCCTATGGCTTTGAAGGGTAGAGATTTAGTTGGCATTGCAGAGACTGGTTCGGGCAAAACTTTGTCATATCTGTTACCTGCTTTGGTTCATGTCAGTGCTCAGCCAAGATTGGGTTAGAATTTCTTACACACTGGTTCTTTCTTTTGTTGAGTTTTACGAAAGTTATTGGCTAATTTGGTATGTTTTCGCTGTGATTGTTCAGTTCAAGGTGAAGGTCCTATTGTGTTAGTATTAGCACCTACTAGAGAATTAGCTGTTCAAATACAAGAAGAAGCTCTGAAATTTGGGTTACGGGCAGGTATTAGAAGTACTTGCATCTATGGTGGTGCTCCTAAAGGGCCACAAATTCGTGATCTTCGAAGAGGTATTTGTCGGCTTCTTTTGAGAATAGATTTATTTTTCTGTAGATGACTTCATTGCCAAATTAGCAGAGTAATTAATTGATATGCAATTGAGTTTTTTCCAGGTGTTGAAATTGTCATTGCAACCCCTGGTCGACTGATAGATATGTTGGATGCTCAACACACAAACTTGCGAAGAGTGACTTACCTTGTGTTGGATGAGGCTGATCGGATGTTGGACATGGGATTTGAGCCTCAGATAAGGAAAATTGTTGCTCAGGTACTTCTATTTCTCACTTCTCCTTCCTTAAGTTCAGCTTGATAACAGTTGGAGAATTCTCTTAAACATTTATCAGCTCTCTATTCTCTGTGTCTTTAACTGTAGCAATTGTCTGCTGTAAAGTATCTTTTAGGTTTCTAATCTATAGTCTAAAAGATAACCAAGTAAAATTTCATGTAAAACCTGTCCCTGAGTTATTTAATTTTTAAGCTAAAGCTCCCCAATTATAGGTCTCTTAGTCTTAGTGTTAGTATACCATCTATTACATAGAGTGTATTTTACCCTCCCACTACTTTCTGATGGATTTGATGAACTAAATAAGTTGAACTCAAAACTTAGAATTTCGTTCTTCGTTGTAAGCATGGGACCAGGATAGGTTTCCTTGCCCTAAAACTTCTAAGAAAATGCTTGTTTGTACAAAGAAAACGTTCACTTGTACAAGGGAGAACCTGCTTAGTAAATACTACATAAACTGTGGAACAAATTTGTTTAAAGGTTTGTCACTAAGCACTAGGTGCTATTAAATTGGTTATATATTACTGATATATCAATATTTCTTCACTGGCTTATTCTAGTGACATCTGCTGTTCTAAAGGTCGTTATGTTATTATGATTTTGTCAAAAAGATGATTTTCTGAGGTTTTTACTAATATGAAATTATACTAGCATTGCATTGAATTCATGCTTGAAGAAGAGCTTTAAACTGAATACAAATTGTGTGCCCTTGTTACAGATCCGACCTGATAGGCAGACTTTGTATTGGAGTGCTACATGGCCAAGGGAGGTTGAAACTCTAGCAAGGCAGTTTCTGCGCAATCCATACAAGGTTTGTGTTGTAGTTGTATGCGATTTCATATGATAGTATTGCTTGTGCACATTGGATATACTCTCAAATTTTTTCCAACATGTGTATTCGATTTACTTGTAATTGTGATGGTGTTTAGGTAATCATTGGATCAACAGATCTAAAAGCGAACCAATCTATAAATCAAGTTGTTGAAGTTCTGACAGAGTCAGAGAAGTACAACAGGTTTGTCCTGGCAACTTGTAAAAGATAAATTTTGAGGTTTTGGCTTCTTGATTTGATCTTTTAGCATTTTCAACTTATGCAGGCTGATCAAACTACTGAAAGAAGCGATGGATGGGAATCGAATTCTAATATTCACAGAAACCAAAAAGGGGTGTGACCAAATTACAAGACAACTAAGAATGGATGGATGGCCGGCTCTGTCCATTCATGGTGATAAAAACCAGGCTGAAAGGGATTGGGTTCTCGCTGAATTTAGAAGTGGAAGAAGTCCTATAATGACTGCTACTGATGTTGCTGCACGGGGTCTTGGTAGGATCACTGTGTTTTAGGAGTTTTAGGTCTAATCTTTTAGGTCTTGAAAGCGAGTTGCCGGGCTGTCCAATTTCCTAGGAATATAATTTGTGGTCTGGGTGCAAAGAGGCATGCCATCATCCTAATGGCTCTTGATTGTTTTTTATTAACCCATAAGCATGATCCTTTACTTCAAGGAATTTACAGGTTGGATGAGAGTCATTTTGGTTTCTCTTATTTACTAGAATATCCTGTAAAATATCTCTTTGGGTACTACCTTATTCTTGCAGCTCCTGTTACATGGACACGTGGTGCATATTATAGTAATATTACTGAGTGATAGACTAAGATTTCATGAAGAGTTATGGCATAATATTATGCAGACCACTGCAGTCTGTCGGGGAATTTTTTTTTTTTTCTGTTTTAGTGTGAGGGATACAATATTGTCAAAAGCTGGCTCACATGCGGTTATATTCTTTGCGCAAGTTGCCTGAAATGCCATGGCTCCTTCCATCACGTGTCTTAAGTAACATATTTGAAGTTATTGTTGCCCATCCACGGTTATGTAGCTGGTTTTTTTGTGGCAGCCTGGTTGACTCACATGTGCTTATACGTTTATTGGAAAATGGTGGTGTTGAAGCTGTTCCTTATCCCTGCAAGGTTAAGGTGGGCACATTTATTTGATGAATGTGTTTTGTTAAATTTGACCACTCAGATCTTAGGGGTGCAGGGATAAGGGGGTTTTGTCATTTTCTAGGGCTGTATATGAGCTGAGTCATTCTGAGCATTGACTCCTCAAGCTTGGTTCAGTTACCTTGTCCTATGAATTCTTTTGATTGAGATTTTTATTATGCTAATCTTTAGGGAAAGCTCACTTGAGTTTAAATTTGATTTGGCTAATTCTTCCCCCAGTTGATATTTGACCAAGCTTCTTACCGAGCCAAACTTGAGTAAAGCTCAACTAGTTTGATTTGTCTTGTAGCTTATGTTTCTTCAGTGTTCTGTATAACAAACATTATTTGGCCTAACTTCTACCTTTATTGGCTGTAGATGTGAAGGATATAAAATGTGTGGTCAATTATGATTTTCCATCCAGCCTTGAGGATTATGTTCACCGGATTGGCCGAACTGGTCGTGCTGGGGCCAAAGGAACTGCTTTTACCTTTTTTACACATTCAAATGCAAAGTTTGCTAGGGATCTAATCAAGATCTTGCAAGAGGCAGGACAAATTGTGAACCCCTCATTGTCATCCTTGGCACGTTCTTCTGGTTCTAGTTTTGGCGGTAATACTTTGTTTCCTTAATTAGATTTAGTTAATGGCACAGTGTATTTTGGGATAATAAGCAATTTTTTCTTGATATGTAGGTTCTGGGGGACACTTCCGCTCCCGAGGACGAGGAGGCTTTGCCCACCGATCTTCGATTTCAGAGTCTAATACTATTCCTTTAGGTTCAAGGAGGGCGTGGTAATTTGGGTGGTGGGTGATATTGTTGATGCAGAGGCCCGTTCTTGAATTTGAATAAGTTGGCTAGTTTCTAGAATAGAATTCATGTGGCAAATATAGCTTGTTCTATTATTTATTGATATTGCCATTAGCTTTAGTTAAAATTTGTATCAACTGGTTGATAAATTTTTATAAGAAACTCATGTTATAGCAATTCATACGGATATCAATGCAAAGTTGGTCCATTGTTTGAACTTTTAGATCTTGAGTTACTTAAATTTGATAATTATTTTGTCAAATCATAGCAATTTTACTGGCTAGAGATGCTATACTGCCTCTTTTATGTGATTTGAAATTTTACATATTTTTGCAATGTTTTAAAACCTAACCCGAGTGAAACCTGTGTTTTAAAAGTCAGATTGGATTGGCCAATTCGATTGGAAATCGGCATTAACTTCGGTCCGGTTCATTATAAAACCCGTCAATCACTTAAAACCCGTTTGAAACCGGTAATAGACCGGTAAATAGTATTGAACCGTTGGTCCGACCGACCCGATGATTAAACCGGTTCACTAATTATGAGTTACAGTAATCCCTAAAAAATTTGATTCCCAATTTGCATCTTCATTTCATTTCAATCGGGCTTCATTCTTTACAGATTTCGTTCACTTTATCCTTCAAATTCCATCTCCATAATTGCGTCACTTTATCCTTCAAATTCCATCTCCGTAATTGCATCGACGATTGAACGCGATGAAGGTCAATTCCGGCGGGACTCACTGAAGCCATCGCTCCTCCTCCGCTGCACCGAAGGCTCACCGACGCCATACTAGGATGAAAATAAAAATCAGAAACCGAAACGAAAGAAAGTGATACTATTAAATTGGTTTTGGTTTTTGATTTATGGCGGTCCAGAATGAGGAGAAGTGTGATTGGCGGAGAGTTGAAAGGCACTTTATTGGAGGAAGAATTGGTGAAGTTTCGTCACTTCAATCTTCTTCTTCTTCTTCACTCTAAAGTCTGAACTGTAAAGTCTAAAGAAGATGGAAATCGAATCTTCTTCAACTTCGACGACGAGCGAAAGCTGCGAAACTCGGAAACTGTACTTCTTCATCTTCTTCACTGATTTTGCAGGTTTATTCTCTTTTGCAGTTTCAGGATTCTGCTTCTGCACTGAGTGTGCTGCGGCCGCTTTTCTTGTTCTGGTTTTACTTCTATGTTGTTTGGCGTGTTTTGCTGGGTGAGTGGGCGGCCTAAGCCCTTTGTTATTTTAAGAAGGTGTTTTCATGGCTGCCTGCTGGTTGTCGTTTTTATAATGCTGGTGGGTGGTTTTTCTGGCTCGTGTTATTTTTGCCTTGTACTCACCGGAAATCAACTTCGTCACCACCATTGCATTCACCGGCGCATTCTCTTCAGAAGCCCCAACATCTAACCGTCAATTGTTCGCTGATCATCCTCCCAAATTCTAAGGTTTTGGGTAAATAGAAAAAACATAAACCTGACCCGTTGAAGCTTCCTGGTCTCAGTTGAACCGGTTAAACCGGTCGGGTCGGACTGAGTTTTAAAACATTATATTTTTGTTTATCGAAATGTTGCGCTTGCTAGTGATGGGTAAGTAAGAGGCCAATTTTTTTTTTTTTTTTTTTTTTTTCAGAATGGCTTGGCCTGATCCATAAATATGCTTGTAGATTAATTGTGTCGTTCATGTGTTTGGGCAAGAAATGGATGATAAGTGTTGTATTCAGAAGCAGTACATTTTTAGCCCTTGGGTCATTCTTAATTAACTTGAATATATTTAACTACTTTTTTTTTTTTTTCCAAATCTCTTGAAAGGGCAAAAGAAATATTTTCTTCTTTCTTCAACAATTTATGGGTTTTAGTAGAATTTGAACACAGATAAAGTTCTAACTATCTGAGATAGTGATTGGATCTTATAAGATTTTTAAGAAATTTTTTGATTTCTTCTTAAAGCAAATGTTCATTCATTTGTCTTTCACATTCCATGAATAGTTAGAACATTAAGGAATATCCAAAAAGACATTTAAGGTCTCATTGGGAGTTTTTTTCATTAGTTTTAGGGGATATTTAATTAGACTGGTTTTGAGGTGTTCTAAAATCATTATTTGCCAGATTTTTTATGCACTGGTTTTGAAACCCACCCCCCAAATAGGGGTGTTTTGGTTGATTTTAAAATTTTATTCCACAAATACTCTATTCACTACAAAACTATCCTAATTATATCAAAAAATCAATATTGTCGATAAAAAATGCACAAAACAGAAGGAACGAGAAAAAGACTTGACTTATTTTCATTCAATTATTCATTCTTTAGGTTCTTCAATTCTCTCAACAACGCGCCTTTCTCTCTTTCTCTCTTGTTTTTTGTTTGGGTTTAATGGCATATGCTTAAATGAGGGAAGGATCCTCTGGTAAAATCATTCAAGTTTTCCTTTTTTGATTTTTATTATTAGGTGCTTTATAATTGACTGAAATGATGCGCTATTCTTAATTTTTTTGGACATTTATAAGCAATTTAAAATTTATTTCATTCCCGGATACTACTTTGATTTGCCCTAGATTTGCAAAAAGTTATTCTTTTTAATTTTTTTTCCCTCTACTTATTGTTGTTATTTTTTAATGGATTCGTGGTTTTAATAAGGGTCTTTTTGATAGTTAAAAAGTGTTTTTTTTTTTTTTTTAGATGGGTTATATGGTGCATGATTGTTGGTGTGATGCTGTTGAACATAAATGCAAATAAAAAATTGATCCTTGGAAGGCTGAAAATTAATCCCTAGAAGATGACATAGAGTGTGGAGTTTATTTAGATTTTTTATTTTGGTGAAATTATGGATATAAAGAAGACTTGTTTTTGGGTCATACTATGATTGCATTTCAGCAGCAATATTATGATTTATGTTTCTTTGGATCTTTGCTTTAGAGTTGTTTCTTTGGATCTTTGCTTTAGAGTTGATGCTTTACAAATTTTCTGCATAAAGTTTCTATAGAGTGGTGGTTTGAAGGGTTCTATATGCACTTTAGCAAAACATTTTATTAGAATGATGATTTGATCATGTTACTTACTATTTGATAATAACTCTTTTGTTGTGTGCTCGTTCTTATTTATTAGATGGTTGACCATGATTACTTCAATAATGATGATTTGATCATGTATACATCATATTCATATGATGTTTTTACTACTAGTTGGATGTGTTTTAGCACAACAACCCACAACACGAACTACTTCACATTTGAATAGAATTAATCATGCAATACACTTGCAAAGTGAATGAATTCGGGATGAAATAATGCAACATATTGCTGGACCAAGTGGTCGATATTTGATTCGAATGAGTCCCACAACATTTGTAGAATTTTATAGAATTTTAGCAATGGAAGGGGGGCTTCATTCAACTCAATGAGCTACAGTTGAACAACAAGTTGCTAAATTCCTTTGGATTATAGGTCAAAACACTAGGCATAGTACTTGTTCATTGCTTTTCCATTGCTCAGGTGAGACGATCAGTTGTCACTTTCATAAAGTGCTAGAAACGATCATAGAGTTAGAGGACAAATATCTCTTACAACCAAATAGACTCCAAGTGCCACTTGAAATACAAAACCACAGTAGATTCATCCATACTTTAATGTGTACATTGGAAACACAACACTTTAAATACTTATACTATTACCTTTACCTAATTAGATAAATAATGGCACGATTGTGTTGGGGCAATAGATGACATGTATATTCGTGTTAAAGTACTAGTTGTACATGCTGCCAAGTATCATAGGAGGAAGGAATATCCAACTATGAATGTTTTGGCTGCTTGCACATTTGACTTGAAATTCAGATGTGTTGACTAGGTGGGAAGGAACTGCTTCTGACTCTAGGAAAATGAAAAATGCCCTCACACGAGATTATCCACTCCATATTCCAATAGGTATTACTTAAAAACTTGGTTTGTTTTATATTTGAACTATTATGTTGACAATATAGGTGGTAATGTAGGAAAATTTTATCTTGTTGATGCGGGTTTCATGCTTCGAAGTGGTCTCATCACACCTTATAGAAGAGAGTGTTATCACATTAAAGAGCACTCACAATGAAACCCTTCTAGAAATGCTTGTAAGCTATTCAATTATCGGCACTCTTCATTGCACAATGCAATAGAGAGAGCATTTGCTATACTCAAGAAATGCTTCCCCATTATTGGAAGCGGGACTGAATCGATGTACAACATTCAAACACTAAAACTAATTGTGTCTACTTGTTGCATAGTTCATAATTTTCTGATGGGAGTGGATCCGAATGAAGGTCTCATTGCCGAGGTTGATGCGGAAATTGCTAAGGAACCTATAGAGCATACAAACCATGACCATAATTTAGATAATCACGAAGATGCAAGAAAAGGAGAGTTAATTTGAAACTCAATAGCAAATGCAATGTGGGAAGCATATAATTTGAGTCAACATTGAATGTCAATTACATTTGTGTTGTACTTTTTCAATGTAATTCTTTGTTGACATTAAGTGGTGTGATGTGGTGTAATGACTTGTTATTACTGCTTTATAATAAATGTTATCATTTGTATTGTATTAAGTAAGATTTGTAATCCTAATATAAATTATGTTTGTTTGTAAACTTTTTCTTTTTGAATAACTATTCCTTACAGGAAAGTGATGTCTCCCAATGTGAAGAAAGATCCAAATATGCGCTGCAACTAATCAATGGATGATATTCTCATTGATGCCTATTTGCATGAGGATGTGCAAGGAAACAGGGTGGGAGGGACCTTCACATCACAAGCCCATGACCAAATATTGCAAACAATGAAAAAAAAGTTTCCAAATATCGCATGGGAGAAAGAAAAGATCCAAAATCACATGAAATTTATCAAGATATTATGGGCATCTTGTCTTGATATTTTTAAGGATGGATTGAGCGGTTTTGCATATGATCAAACTACTTTGACATGGCATGCTGAACCAGAAGTGTGAGACAAACTTATTGAGGTGGGCTCTTGTTTAATTGTTTACATACACTTTAAATATGCTTGTTGGAGAAATTATATTGTTACTTAGAATGTGTGTATTTTTATATAGTCAAATCCTAGTGCTGTTGAACAGGGGAGCAAGCATGTATATAACTACGACAAGTTATGTGAGCTCTTTGCAAAAGATTGGGTTAATGGGGGAGATGGTGACACCCTTAGGGAGATGAACAGAAAAATAGCTCATTTATCTCAAAACAATGTAGAATGCCCTAATTCAGTTAAGGACATTGATAACATGGTAGCACAAAATCAAGCTTCATTGAATGATGTCAATGTTGAAAGAAGTGAGAATGACTTGACTTCTCCAGGTTGCCAATCCGAAGTTACATCACGCAAGTTGAAGAATAGACGCAAGGTTAAAGAGGACAGTAATCCTATAAAAGAGGCTATTAGTGCAGTGGATAGGGCAACACATTACCTAGGTGACGTGTTACTATTGTGTGCTAATAAATGTTCTTTGAAGGACAATGAATTGTTGGAGCATTTAGTTGAGATTGGGATTGAAGATGATGATGAGTTGCTACATGCTTAGACTTTCCTTCTTGAAAATCCCATGAAGCTACGTGTATTTTACTTGTTTCCAGCACATCGCCACAAGAGTATCTTACTGAAAATACTTGAAAATGCAGCGACTTAATTCCTTTACAAAGGTAAATCCCACCATAGCTATTAGTTTTTTTTATTGTTTGGCTTGAAGAAACTTAAGATGTTACTTTCAGGTATATATTTTAGATTTAGGGAGTTTTTGCTGTTGCTTTTTATTAGTGATAACCACTTATACCAGTTCTAGGGGCTGCTCACTTATGTACAAATGAATATGAAAACAAGAATACTTGCTTATTAAGTATATTGACTTTATGTGATTTAGTTGATGTAGATCCTAATTAATTTTATTTTTATCTAGTGCAACATTCGGTTATTGAATACATATGTACTTTATAGTTATGCAATTGTTTTAGTCATAAGTAGACCATCTCTAATGGGTAGAAACTAAGTATTAAATATCCCTCCATACTTTGTACTCTCTTAATAATTAATCCATGGTGTTATGCCCCATCTAATTAGATTACTCCCTCCTAATAACATGATTTATCACGTGAACCTGGACATTTGTACTCTTTTATTAATATGTTTTTCGCATCTTCAACCATATTAAATATAAAATAATTTTAAGCAAGCATAAAAAAAAAAATTATTAAAATCTCATTTCTAGAAGCTTTCTTGAAAAAGTAGAGTTACAATTTTTCAATCATTTCAGATGTTGCAAAGAATGGCGAAGAAGGATAAAAAGATTTTATCACATTTAAAGTTATAAAATATTAATAAATTAAAAACAAATAAAGAACTCTTAACTTGTATGTAATTGAAAAAACAAAACTTCCAAGTATTGGTTGAAGTTGGGGTATTTTTATGGACATATATATAGATTTATCATTTTAAAAAACTGTCAGAATTGTTGAAAAATAAACTCTCAAGCGTTGGTTAGGTGTTTTAAAAATCGTTACTGAAAACCCTTCAAAATCGTTACGGTGGTTTACAAGGCAAAATCGGTACGGTGGTTTACCCCCATAATCGCTACCATGAAACTTTCAAGCATACCCCTTAGGAAATTGGTTTGGTTCTATCTATATTTGTTCTATTTAAACAAATGAAGGGTTTCAAATAATTCAATCTTTTCATATTTCTTTCTTTGATTGATAAATATACAATATTTCAAATAGTCATTACTAGTGAAATCGACAGAATGTTTGGATTCAACCGGCTAAAATCCTTGATGAAACAAATAATGAATTCATGAAAGAAAAAATGAGTTTTTTTTTTTTTTTTTGGTGAAAGAAAAAATGAGTTTTAATTATGCGCAGTTTGCCACTCTTGTGACTGCAAAAATTGTCCACTTGATATTTTGATGAAGGTTAGAACTTAGAAGTAACAACTACAGCCATTGTTCTATTTATTAATTGCTTAATTTTTTTTTTATGGGTCAGTAGGTAATATTTTCGAAGTAAAATACAATTTCCATCAAAATATTTTCTCAATAATTTTTTGCAAAATTTGTTTCTTTTTTGATAAAATAATATTATAAATATCTAAATGTTTTTATTTATTAATTTTAGAAACATTTCTAAATAAGAAAAATGGAAAACATAAAACCAAGGGGAGGGGCAAAATTGTAAACTCTCTAACCAGCGCTCCCCTATATAAATACGAAACCCTAAATCACAAATGTGCGCAGCTCCAACAGGCCATTTCTCCGCAGCAAGCAGGTAGGGAGAAGAGTGAAGGGAAAAAATGACGACTAGGTTCAAGAAGAACAGGAAGAAGAGAGGTCACGTGAGCGCCGGGCACGGTCGTATCGGGAAGCACAGAAAGCACCCTGGCGGTCGCGGTAACGCCGGAGGCATGCACCACCACAGGATCCTCTTCGACAAGTACCATCCCGGTTACTTCGGTAAAGTCGGCATGAGGTACTTCCATAAACTTCGTAACAAGTTTTATTGTCCTATTGTCAACATCGACAAGCTTTGGTCCATGGTTCCTGAAGATGTCAAAAGTAAAGCCAACAAAGACAACGTTCCTTTGATCGACGTCACACAGTACGGTTACTTTAAGGTTTTGGGTAAAGGTGTTTTGCCTGAGAATCAACCTGTTGTCGTTAAGGCCAAGCTTGTCTCCAAGAATGCGGAGAAGAAGATTAAGGAAGCTGGTGGGGCTGTTGTGCTCACTGCTTAGGTTTTTTGAATTTAGTAATTTTATGATATTTTTGTTTAAGTGGTTGAATACTGTGATTTTATGAGTAATTTTGGATGTTTTTATTATTGTTAAATGCATTTGGACCGTTTCGATCATATTTTTACCTGTCCTGTTTGTTATGTTTGGTTGATAATCATCTATGAATTCCGATAATTTTATATTTAGATGTGAATTTGTCTGTCTGATCTGATTTATGTTGTTGTATCTTATGAAGGCCTTGTTTTACTAGTTTATATGGAGAAATTATTTCTTGTGTAAATCTGTGAGGCATCAAATAGGTTGTTTGGATTCCTGTGTCTCTCTTGAATCCCTTGTAACTTATAAATTGAAGTATGATTGAGCTCTTGCTGGTAAATGAGTCTCTCTATACAAGTTATTGCATAGTCACACATTCAATGGAATAGTTCACATAGAATATCAAACTCATACATATGGGATTGTTTGTTTCACATAACTCAAAACTCAACTTATATTCCTTCACTCGTCATTCATGGCCTCCTTGTTTTACTATGCAACGATTTCTTGAGCCACATCGTCGACACAGTTAGTTACCAGATCATTGATAGCTATAGTTATGAAATCACTTGTTTAAGCTTGCGGGTTTCTCATCTTCATCTTTTGATTATTGATTACTGTTTTGTTCCAATACATGTATGTATGATCCTAAGCATTTTTAAACTTGAAATCTCCCAAGTAATTCCTTTGTTAGTTTCTTACCATGAAATATTGGGCTAATTGCACGTACAGCCCCAAATTTCAAAAACTGAAACTAGTTGCTGAGTTTGCGGTTATTATATTCAAAAACTACCCCACAACAAAGCAAAAACCCTTCATCCCCACGGCAACCCCTACCATCACCAACAAACCACCATGGCAGCCTCCACTATCATTACCAAGCTCTAACCCTAACTCCCAAACAATCACAGCAGCCTCCATCCACACTACTAAATCAACACAAAAACAAATCAGCCAATTTGGTTTTTTAGATTTCAGATTTAGTTATTTTTTTTTTTCAGATCTATTCAGTTTTAAATTGAAGAGAGAGAGAGAGATGAGGGGAGAAGGAAGAATGAAGAATAAGACGGGTTGGCTATCTTGCTTTTGCTGGTCGTCCGGAATTAGTGAAGTTGTACACAGTTAGTTGACCCTTTCCAGTGATAAAAAATAATCAATAATCATTATAAGAAAAGGAAGCAAAAAAAAAAAAGGTTGTGCGTTTGGCTCTCTTTTTAATCTATATTCCCAATCCATTCTCCATATGTTTGGCACCTATTCTAGAAAATTACCTCTTTTTTTTTAATTACTTTTAGACCTCATAAGGTTATTAATTTTCACTAATGCCCCCTGAAATTTTTTTTAAAAATTAACAAAACCCCCTATCAACCCAATTTGGTCAGATTCCGGCAACCACCGCCGGTGATAGCCGATCTGTACAACGGCCTAAATTTCGACCATAATTGGCTCAATTACACCGATCTGGCCTTTTCCGGCAGATCCCCAGGATCTGGCCGGAAAAGGCCAGATCTGGCCGTCATGACGACCAAAGAATGGTCCTCCGTTGACGGTCAACGACGTCCAATCTTGGCCGTCGTTGACCGAAACACGGCCACATCTTTGGCCTTCGTTTTGGCCTTTCCGCCGTCGACGGCCATAACAGGCCCTTAGATCTGACCTTTCCCTCCGGCCAGATCCGTGTGCTCGGGCCGAAAGGCCAATAATGGCGTTACGTACAGATCCGATCGGGTCTTTGCCGTAACGAAATTTTTCAGGCCAGATTCCGCGGTGGCGGCCGGAATCGACACTGCAGTGGTGGGGTGTGTTTTTGTCATTTTATATAGAGTGGGTCCTTGTATTAAATTAGTAAACTATGGGCTTTTTTCATAAATTTTTTCAAATTTACCTCGTAATACTCCCCTATCCACACCCAATATTATCCTCAAATCCTATCCAAAACTACACTCAAACGCACCCAAAGGTTATTTTTACTAGGGTTTTGAATTAAAAGAAAGCTAAAGAGAAAGAAGAAAAAGAAAAAAAAAAACTAATTTTTTTAAAAATAAACAAAATCACAAGGTGAAAATATATCTTACGGAATTTAATAACGACGGAAGGCTAGTTTCAAAATATCAGCGGTGGTGTTTGGTATAATAACGTCAAACTCAACATCAAGTCTATGTAATTGCAATTAACCCACGAATAATTGATTGCAAGGATATGTTGTAGAATGCTCCTTCCCTGGATGTTTAAGCACTGGTTTAGGTTTGAAATTCTTACGGACTTGAAACCCCGCGTCTTAAACCTGGGCCCGCCATGAGCCACAATCTTGGTTAGTGGATTAGGTTCTTTGAATCTCGATTAATTACGCGATGGTGTCGACAGTTTCGCTCTTCCTCGTTTGGCCATGGCCATAGTTTATGAAACATTTTTTAATAAGTAATCTATTATAGATTTTTTATTTATTTATTTATGGGAATATCATATAAATAAAGGTTGGGACAATCAGTAATGAGTAAATTATAAAAGTGTTATTCTCTTGAAAGATCAAATAAGGCATAAGTTAAACAAATTGGTATGACATTTTATAAGAATAAAAACTCATTTTGAAACTCTAAATGGTGTCCTAAAAAGTGATACTTGTCACATAAGCCACTAGTTTAACATTATAATTCAAATAACCTTATATCATTAAACAATTTTGATTGAATTTTATAATTGCCTACACATAAACATGCGTATAAGTGACTTATGGTGTTAAAACTTGGTTAACTTATGATTGTGTGACTATTATGTTAAAGAATTAATGTCCATTAATTTTTTTATTGTGTTTACCTAAAGTATAGTACATGAAAAATGTTTATTTTGGTAAAGTCATAAAGGTTTATATGTCTTACACACATATATTCAAAACACCGTACTAAAAATAATATATCATGTATTTGATAAATTACAGTTATTCAATATAAGAAATATATGAGATGAAATACAATTGTTAATAATTTCTATATTCTTATTTCTAAAATGAATGCAAATTTAAATTATTATTTATTTTAATAAAACTAATTATTTTTTTAATGAAAAAAAAAAGCTATATTTTTTAAAGAGAAGGAAATAGAGAGAGGAGATGCTATGCCTACGGTGGGTGTTACTTTGTCTGTGGAGGGTTGTTGCGAAAGTTGATGGGTTTCATGCATCATGTGATTATCTGTTGCGTGTAAATCTATCATTCGATCTAGGAAAATATGTATACTGCTTGTTGTGGCCGCAAAGAAAAGCTTAAAGAATGAGAGCAAAAATGGGTAGTTTTGTCATTTAAGTGTAGTCTAACACTAATTTAACCATCATTCATAATCCCTGCTAAGTTAGTGGGGATTTAAAACGACAAAACTTGACCAGTTGTGGTCCGAGGGTGTTGGTCTCTCTCTTGAAAGGACAATCAAAGTTTACAAATCATAAGTTAGCATGCATAATCGTAGGTTGGATTATTAAGGTGCATTTGTTTCTAAATTTTTTCCCCTATCTTATTCCTATCCAATTCAAAATACTTATTTTGTTTTCCTATTCTGAAAAATACTTTATATTTTTTATCAATTTTTTTGAACCCATTAGGTTTGTTAATTAACTAAAACCAAAAAAAAAAAAAAAGTTTAGAAATTGACAAAATATCTCCACCAACCCACATTTGCCAGACTTCGACCCTACCATCAGAAGGTGCCAGAATCTGGTATAATGATGCATTACCGGCTGGATCTGGCCGTAGTGCACCGATCTATCCTTTTTCGGTCAGATCCATCGTGGATATAGCTGGAAAAGGCCAGATATACAGCTTAGTATATGGCCGTTACACGACAGATCTTTGGCTATCGTTGACCATGAACACGATCTTTGGCCATCATTGACGACAAACGAGGCCAGATCTGACCATCAATGGCCAATCTAGCCGTAGATCTGACATTTTTTTCGGTTAGATTCATGGTGGATTGACTACAAAAGCCTTATTGGTGCAGCACTGTTCGACCAAATCCAGTCGATCATGCGCCGATACAACAATTTTGACCACCCTCCCGACGGTAGTAGCCGGCTGCTAGTATTTAATGGGTCGGTGGGGGTATTTTTATTAATTTTTAATGTTTTATTACAGGAGTTGTTTTAATTAACAAACCTAGGGGGTGTTTTTTGTTAATTTTCAGTCATACCTCGTAATAACCACCACCAATTTTAATTTTTTTAAAAATATTATTCTAAAAAGTATCAAAATATGAACCAAACGCACCCAATTGTTATCCTAAGGTTGAATTGATACTACTTGTTATCCAATAATCATGTGTTAACAATAGCATGCTTAGTCCCAGGTTGACTTAATACTTGTTTCTCCCATATCATTAACATACTTCTTTTCTCACCCTAAACCAAACTAGCAATACGTGCATCTTTAACTTACATACCTCTTTTATATTTATTATATGTTATTCCTTCCATCTTTACTAAGGTCGGACCCAAGAATGAATTTTGGGGATAATTTAAAAATATGTAATAAAAAAACAGGGAAAATAAACGAGGGGGTCAATCAAGAAAAATTAATATAAATAAGGAGTTAAGCAATATCAAACTAAACTAACGAAAAATTTGTTAGTGGGGTCACCAACCCCAGTCATCATAACATAACTTCGTCTTTCTATAATATATCCCATAATATAATATTTTTAAAACCAATTGCACCCTAAATAACAATCAGGGTTTGTTTGGTTCGGGGTCATATAAGATAATAAGAGTGGGGGTAATTTTTATTTATTTTGCAAGATTCCGTTGTTTGGTTTGCAATAATAAAAATATTACGGAAGGGGGGACGGGATCCCACCAAGGAGGTGTTATTAAAAGATTATCATCAAGTAATGTGATTTTTATACCTATTTTGCTTTTAATTAAATACATTTCGGACCAATGCCCTAAATGTCTACCAAATAATCATTAGCCCACCTCCCACATTTGAAAATTTAGCTAAAATGTGGGGGGGGGAGGATATTAGATACCCTAAGGAGGTGTTATTAAAAGATTACAAGGTAATGTGATTTTTATACCTATTTTGCCTTAATTAAATACAATTTCGACACGTTGCCCTTAAATGTCTACCAAATAATCATTAGCCCAACCTCCCACATTTGAAAATTTAGCTAAAACACCTCAGCCATAAAAAAAGTTTAAAAGTTAACAAAATACCCCCAACCACTCAAAACCACCACCGGCCGATGGTGGTAGTTATCGTAATGGCGCACAATCGATTGGATTTGGCCGATCGTGTGCCGGTAAAGCCGTTTTCAACCACGACGACAAATCTGGGCATGAAACAATTGTCGTTTCACGGCCAAAGATCTGGCCATTTCACAGCCAGATTTGTGGCCATAGAAATGACCAGATCTGAAAACGCTTACTGACACATGACTAGTGACTGCTAGCAGTGGTGGCTGGCTATTGGCAATGGCTTGGGGTGGGTAGGGGTGATTTTGCCATCAATTAAAGTTTTATATGGCTGAAGTGTTTTAACAAAATTTCAAATATAGGGGGTTAAAAGAATGATTTAAATAATAATAATAATAATAATATTATATTAATATTTAAAAAGGAGGGCAATTTAGTAATCTATATAACATACTCACCCATTTATTTTCTCAACCAAACATATTAATATAACATACTTACCAATTTATTCAAACCAACTAAACACATTTCTCTAAACATTTTAGCAATCTTCAAGGTGATCTATCTTTTTATTAATATAGCATCCCTTTCTAATAAAACATTATATGAACCAAACGCACTCCTAAGGTCATGAGTTATTACCTAAACCTGAAGAAGTTATCAGTGTATTGGTGAAACCTCATGGGTTTAGAATAATTATCTTTTTTATGTATTCATATTATGATAAATTGGTAAAAGAATTATATATGAATACTTTTTTTTTTTTTTATTTAGATATAACTTAGTTAAAAAAAAGAACTTGGAATTTTAATAAACTAACAAAATGTTATGTACTAAACAAAAAAAAAAATTTTAACTTCAGTAGTGATAAATGCAATAAACGTGGCTGACTTGGGTTAAACTAAACTTGACTCAACTCAGATGGCTATGCTTCAGTATTAGTTAGTAGATAATGGTAGTATGGTACGCATAAACTATAGAAAATAGTGTAGAAAGATTGATTAAACCTCAAATTTCACAAATAATACTAATGACGATTGCGACAACAATTGTCACCACCCTCACCTTAAGGGAGCGTTTTGATCTTATAATAGTTCATTATAGAGGATATTATATTAATGGAATAAAAAATTACTTTGAAGATTATTGAGAATGTTTAGAAAATGTGTTTCGTTGGTTCGAATAAATTGGTGAATAATATGTTTGATTGAGAGGATAAATGAGTCGGTATGTTATTTAGATTACTAAATTGTTTTTTTTTTTAAATATTGATATAATAGTATTTTTTATTATTATTTTTTGAATTTTTTTTAACCCTCTACTTTTCAGATTTAGCAAAAACACCCTAACAACCAACAAAAACACCCTTACCCACCCCAAGCCACAGCCGACAGCCAACCAACACCATCGGCGGCCGCCAACAGTGCCACAGATCTAGCCGTGAGCCGGTAATGTCATAGATCTGGCCACGATTGTTTCGTGACTAAAGATGTGGCTGTTTGACAGACACATCTTTGGCCGTGAAACGATAATAGATCTAGTTGTGAAACAGTCAGATCTGGCCATTTCTGACCATGGATCACATATCCATGGTCGAAAAAGGCCTCACCGGCGCACAGTCGGCCATATACAATCGATCGTACGCCATTATAACGACTTTTGACAGCCTCCGACGGCTGGCGGTGGTGGCTAATTCTTGGTACAATGATATTTTTGTAAATAATGACAATAACAAGGGCAATGTCGTTCAAAAAATTTAAAAAGTGAGGACAAAAGGGTCTGTATGAGTGAATTTAGTGTTTTGTAAATCTTAACAAATATAAGACTAATTTGGACTAAATGCTCAACTGTTTAGGGGTAATATGAGAAATAAAATTAGATTACCTTGGGTAAGTTTTAATCCCCCCACCCCCCAAAAAAAAAAAAATTTTGAGAATAATTTTTTACAAACCAACCAAATATCATCGTCTGATAAATTAAAAAAATATTATCCCAATTATGAAATATTATACCCATCCAAATGAGAAAAGATAATTTTTTTTACTTTTTACTTTTTAGCTTTTCTTCATGTTCAGTTAGGGTCAAATTAATGGAACTATATTCTACAGCGCACACACACAAAAGTAGTGAAAAATACACTTTATTTGACATGGCCCAATCCGTAAATAAGGGTTCTGGTCTGGTCAATGCGTTGAACCAAATGAATGGCACAAAATAAATTCACTGTGTTAGATAGCTACGTTTTATTATTATACTAATAATGTTACATTTATACCATCCATTACATTATTTTCATTACACCATCATCATTTTACTAATAATTATTTTATTATAATATTAAAAATTAAAAATAATTAAAAATTTACATGGATGTGGGATATATCACATCATGGTGTAATAAAAATGGTGTAATGAGTAATGTAAATGTAGCATTACTCTTATTATATTCACATAAATTGTTCATATTTATAGTATGCTTAGAATATAGTCCACTTACATGAAGGATGAACATGGTCTGTACAATTTTGCAAATTATAATTATTATTAAAGGTAAAATATGACATCTGGCTAAGCCACCCACTATTTGTAGGACAATTATGGCAATTTCATTTTATTTTTGTCAAGAAACCCAACTTAATAAACTTATACCCAAAACCAAAATATCTTGTAAAAACCATCCCTGGTAATTGGGTGATGTGATAGAGACTCTTAAGTGTATTACAAACCACTATGGGTTATTGAATGGTGCGATAGAGACTCTTAGGTATATTACAAATCACCCCTAGGTGACGGAGTGATACGACAAAAACTCTTAGATGTATTACTCAAAAAGTCATGAGTTCTATTCTCTTTGGTTGCTAATAGGGGTATCCCAAGTTACCAAAAAAGAAAAAAAAAAACTTGTAAATTGCCTAATACTTTAGGTGACCCTAATGCTAGTGGAGCTATCTCGGTTGCTAACAAGGTATCCTAGAAGTGGAGCTATCTTTAATTATTTCAATTCGTCATTTATTACTCATCACTTCAAATTATGGGCTTCTATAAGGGATTAAATGACAAGTGAAACCAACCTTCACCCACAATGACTCTATACAAAACATATAATGGTTGGGCTTTTCGGGTACCCACCCAAAATGGAAGGAACCGGAACCAGAGGCTATATATGTCATATANGGGTTATTGGTGGTTATAGCTTGGTGCATGTTGATAACAAGGCTTGTAAATTTGTTGCTGGAGACAAGTCACATCCACAGGCTTGTGAGATTGACACTGTAGTTAAGGAGTTGCATAGTTGTGTGAAGATTGATGAGAGGGATCAGTTCTTGGGCAATTTTGAATGATGATGTAATAATTTATAGGTTATCTTTTTCTGTAAAGTTAAATCTCATTGTTAAATTTGTTAATTTATTATTTATTTTTAAGAGTAAACGACTTTATGCAAATAGAGAGCAAATTCGGTCTAGGTTGTTGGAGTTTTTGAACAGAGGATGCCAGTAAGTCTTTCGGTGGTGACAAGTTAGGTTTTGGTAATCATGATTGATCAAAATCTGACTTGGAAGGGGCGGTTATACGTTCCACAAATCGTTTGATTGTCGGTGACGGGATTGACAAAAAGAAGGTTTAAGAGGTTTTAGTGACTTATGATCGAGGAAGAGAATAGTGTGATATGAGATCGTAACAATATCATAATCGGCTAGCGATTGGTTGGAATATAAACTTTGGGTAATAAATTTGAATTTTGAGACTTTTGGGGTAAGAAAGTTGAATGGGGAAATGCCGTTTAATCTTATATTTAATGATGAATTGATGATGTAATAATTTATTGGTGCGTACACTAGTCAGGTAGTGAAAGAGAGAAAACGGTGCGTTTAACTCCTTGTTATCGTAGTTATTAAACTATTAGATTTACAATGACTCATTGTAATAAATGCTACGTGTCGTATCCTCATAACTAATCATAATTGCGGGATAAAGTAAAAAGCTACTGACTCACTGAGTCGACTCAAGTCGAGTCGCAAACCAACTTCACCGTGGTCAATATTTCTCTGCAGCTAAGCAAACCCACCACACCAAATCTAAAACTAGTTTTCCCACTGCAAACATGGTCTCCTTTACGAGTTTCTCCACTTCGTATGTTATTCTACAGGTAAAAGATTATTTTCTTTAACTAAATTATGTGGTTTTTAAGTCTAAATGATCAGTTTTCAGAACTTTACTATTAGGAGAGTTGAATTTAGAACTTAAAAGATTGTGAAGGAGTGTTTTTGCATAGAAATGTTGTTTTGCCCCTTTAATGTTTATATGTTATATAAGGTCAGTGCAAGTGGATGATGCATAACATAAGGTATTAGAATTAATGTAAAGTGGGTATTTTGTTTTTTGTAGGTTGTTGTTTTAGCATCTTTAGTGAGTGCAGGGAAGACTAATTCATGGAATCCTTTAAGCGAGGATGTCACTGTTGGGTAAGGCTTCTTCACTTCTAAGTTTAAGTTGTTTAAACTGGTTAAAAGTCTTATTAATTAGCAATAAGATGTTATATTTATGTGTAGCAATTCTCATCAATATTTGTTCTTAAGTTAATCTTATTAATGATTTTTTGTGTTTTTTAGCTGCAATCTGAATTGCTTTTTTGGTTTTGGTTCTTGTCTTGCATCAATTAAAAACATTTCATAAAATGAAGTAGTACTTTTTATTCATCTCATCATAAGTTTTGGTGTTGCTAGCACTGCAATAGTTGGGCCGACGACCTGATGAAAATGATCTCTGTCTTAGCTTCTAAATTTTCCGAAAAGTCTTAAGTTGCTTTTTTATTTATAGAGCAATCACTTACTTTGGGCCTTCTGGTCAGGAAAAAGCATTCGAAAGAATATTGTGCAATGTATGACATATGTGGAGAAACCAGTGATGGGAGAGTTCTGAACTGTCCTTATGGTTCTCCTTCTGTGAAGGTGACTTCTTGCTTGATCAAGTAACATTCTTTTTAGAAGTTCTCTCCTCACATGTTTCTCTAACAGCATAATTGTGGTTTCTCAATTCATGTTATATGTTTTCCAGCCCGATGAGTTGCTTTCTGCAAAAATCCAAAGCTTGTGTCCATCAATAAGTGGGAATGTTTGTTGTACAGAGACTCAATTTGAAACGCTGAGAGCGCAGGTTCAACAGGTAAGAATGTGTTAAATGAGGTTGTTCAAAATAGTTATATGTGTAGTATGCTTGGCTGGGTGGTTCAAATAGGCTAATGTTTATCTCAGACCAAGCACATGTTTTTGGTTTCTATTATTGTTCACCTGACCAATTTCTATGTGGTATCATTTTGTAACTCTATACCATAATGTGCAATCTATTGCAGGCTATACCTTTCCTTGTGGGCTGTCCAGCATGCTTGAGGAACTTTTTAAACCTTTTCTGCGAGCTTTCCTGCTCTCCAAATCAAAGCCTATTCATCAATGTGACTTCTGTTGCTGAGGTGAGGCGTACTGATGATGCCATTCAGAGCTCATTCCATGATAATACTCTCTAGCCTTTAGTTTAATCACTTGTAGGAGACTATTTCATCTGATGCTTGCTTATATTTCTTACCTTAGTAGTTTCCGTGTTAGTAATGGGACCAAACAGTTTGAAAACGGTATTCTTATTTCCTAATTCCAAAATACTCTGTTTTATGAACACTACTATCACCAAAATGAGAATTTGATCTAAAGCAACAATCAGTAAGATCATTGTTGAACTATGTCATTTTTTTCCTTGCTATTAATAGTGCTGGTCTCTGTATAATATGAAGTCCACTTATATTTCACTATTGTTGCATCTTTGTGAATTTTTTTTCTTTCCAGGTCAATGGCAGTTTAACCGTGGATGGAATTGACTATTTTGTAACCAAAACTTTTGGGGAAGGTCTGTATAGTTCTTGCAAGGATGTAAAGTTTGGTACTATGAATACTCGGGCCATAGATTTCATTGGTGCCGGTGCTAAAAACTTTAAAGGTGATTCTACTATCTGTGGGCGGCTATATCAACAGTCTCTGCACAAATTTCAATAGTTAACTTTGTCGTTGCTGTTAAAGTTGCCATGTTTTCAGTTTCAAATCTCCAAGTTTCTTTTTTCTTATACGGTCTCCTCTTTCTATGAGCTGCATATTTCTTTCTTCCAAACCACCAAAACTCATCTTGAATCAATGTCTTTCATGTTGCCACCTATTTATATTTATTTTGTACTAATACGAATCGTTCTTTGTCCTTATCAATAGAAATGTGGATTTAGGGGGCAGAAAAGTGTGTGTTTGTGTTTGACTAACCTATGAAATTTGTTGCATTTTTTTTTTTTTTGGTAAAGTCTCATGCTTATCTCTGTTTGTACCGAGTAATTGTTTGATTTTCTCCAAGTTTTAATCCTTTTGTGGACTATTGTTTTTGCCAGAATGGTTTGCTTTTATTGGTCAAAAAGCTGCCCCTGGAATGCCTGGGTCACCATATGCCATAAAGTTTAAGTTAAGCACTCCTGAGTCAGCTGGGTTGGAGCTCATGAATGTGTCTGTTTATACATGCGGTGACACTTCCCTTGGCTGTTCTTGCGGTGACTGTCCTTTGTCACCCATGTGCTCTAGTTCTGAACCTCCTAATCCACAAAAGAAAGAATCTTGCTCAATTCGAATTGGATCTCTTAAGGTTGGAGTTGATATAATACTGTCAAATTATTTTCTTATTACTATCACGTTGGCCTGGTTAAATATTAATGACTATGTTGTGAATTATTCTGTTGGTAAATCCATGTACTAAATTTTCCAATCAGGGCTTATAATTTACCTGGTGCCGTTGACTGATGTTGTAGGTCAAATGTGTCGACTTTTTGTTGGTGATTGCTTATATTCTTCTGGTATCTACATTTTTTGGGTGGGTTTTGTTTCGGCGAACAAGAGAAAGGAGGATACCTGGATCTAGCACGGAACCTTTATTGATGAATAAAGGAGGAACTGATTCTAGTAATGTGCAAGAGGCTAAGAATTTTTCCTTAAAGGTAGATTTTTTGCATTACAGTTTTCCAACCTCTTAACTTTTCCCATTTTTTGATATGATTGGCTTGGATGTTATTAAACATGTGGTATTTCACCTACAGCAATAACTATTACTTATTGGTGTTGAACTTCTTTCTTTTTTCTAATCACTGTATCTTTTAGCTGTTGGTTGGGATGAGTGCTTAATTTAACTTTTTTCTTTTCGTTTAATATCCTATTTTTCGTTTCTATTGTATCTGCAGCTAACAAAGGAGGAACAGCTTTCTGTTGTTCAAGGATACATGTCGAGCTTTTACAGGTCAACTACAACACTTCTACTTTTAGGATAAGATAGATATGCTGAATAATTTTTTTTTTTTTTTTAATATGTCCAGGACTTATGGACAATGGGTTGCTAGAAATCCCACTCTTGTATTGAGCACGTCATTGGCAATTATTCTTGTGCTTTGCTTAGGTCTAATTCGTTTCAATGTGGAGACACGGCCAGAGAAGGTATCATATTGACCTTTTTGTATCTTTTTATTATGTGAAAGAGTTTTTCATGTGACTTACCAACTATTTGTTAAAATCAAAGCCCAAGATCCTCATTGTATATGCTTGAGTTAATTTTTTATTCCATGATTATGATAAAATTGTCTCCTGGGAGCTGATCAGGCACCTTGTAATGCATATGGTCCAACTGGTCTTTTTTTATTTTTTTATTTTGACTCTCTTTGATTGGCAACCTTCTAATTATATGTGCCAATTATTTTTGGATTAAATGTTATGATCAATTTCCAGATGACTGAATTTTGCGTTTGATGCTCCTTTTCCTCCTTATTTGATCTTGTTAAAATAGTTGTTCCCCAGCTGAAGATCATATTTTGTTGGATTTGACTTGTTTTATAGTATAATAGCAAGTTGAGTGGCGCACAAATTTCTACATATCCTTATGAGGAGGGAAGCACACAAATTTCTGTTGTTTCATGTATTTTAAGTTCACCTTCTTTGTCCCTTCTGTACATAATCAGGTGTAAATGTGACCACCAAAGTCAACGGTTTATCATGATTACTAATTCTCCTGTCTTGTATTTTTTACAGCAAAACTTGTCCATTTTGAGTGGCCTTCATTGTTTGTGACTGCCTCTTAATTCTTAAATATCGCTCTAGCTTGTGATATTAATGAATAGCTCTAACCTGTATACAATGTTTCTTGAAATTTTCTGTACAAAAGCAAAAGCTTATTGCAAATAAGGTTAGGTCCTAAAATTTAAAAATCAAGATAATTAAGTTCTTTACTGTTTCCTTCCAGTTTCTATTTTTCTCTGTGTTCTAGCTTCCAAATTTTTATAAATATGTTTCATTTTCAATTTAAATCATGGTCAGGGCTTGACAGATGTAATTATGTAGTTGTGGGTAGGTCCCGGGAGTAAGGCAGCTGAAGAGAAACGGTTTTTCGACCAACACCTTGCCCCTTTTTACAGAATTGAACAGGTTCTTTTCAATGTTTCTCTTTCTTTATCTTTAATCTGTTTGATTTCTTGTGATTTAGTTGCCTGTTGTATGTTTTATGTACAATCTATATAGAAAAGAAGAAACTCTATTGGGTTTTGTTTTCTCTTTATTTCTACATTTGACTTTATTTATATATTTGATTGTGTATTGTAAGAATATTATTACAAGGATTAGCTTATATCTTTTCAAAAATTGTGCATTTCTTTTGGTTCGTCAGCTTATTTTGACAACATCACCTGATTCCAAGCTTGACAAAACACCCGGTATTGTCACAGAGGATAACATCCAATTACTGTTTGAAGTACAAAAGAAGGTACTCTTTGTGACTGACTACTTTTCAAATTCCATATGAATATGTAAACAAAATTGAGATATCCTTAATTTGAATTGATTTATATATGTTCTTACTTCTCTATGAGTATTTACTAAATAAATAATTAGCTCTCTTTTCTTTGCTCATGTTGACAGGTTGATAAAATTCGTGCAAATTATTCTGGTTCATTGATATCCATATCTAACATTTGCTTAAAGCCTCTAGGCGAGGATTGTGCCACTCAGAGTGTTCTGCAGGTTTTTGAACGTTTTTATTGGTTTCAGCTGAGTGTATATCATTACGTGTCAATTCATATGTATGGTAGAGTAATGAAATGGAGTTTTGGGGAAAGCTTTGCTACTGTGAGGCTGATTTATGCTTATCATTTTCCTTTTGCTTTTTAATATATTTGTAACTCAAAATTATTTTCTTAGAGCTTCTCAGTCTAAAGCAAATAAATGTAAGTAATAACATGTCCTTTCCAAGCAATGACATCTTTGTTTTTGGATTTCTAATCTATTCTGACAGTATTTCAAAATGGACCCAGACAATTATGACTACTATGGAGGAGTTGCACATGCTGAGTACTGTTTTCAGGTATCTTTTTTGGTGACTGTTTTTGACATTTAGACACTTGATTGTTTGATAACTCTTAAATCAAATATGGCTCGATATAAAATTTGTGCCTAGATAATCCATAAGTCCTCCACTAACATGCTTAAAGATTCTAGATCTATGTATTTAAATGGCTTAAAGCTGTCCATGGTTCTAATATTCTAAAAATAGTCACACTACTCATTAAAATTGCAATAGAAAGAATGTGCTTGCTTTATTTTGAGCTCAAGCAATGTGTTCCCAGTATTTTCAGGGCTATTACGTTGTCAACTAAAAATTTGATTCAAGTTCTGTATATTTAAGTAATCATAGTTCAGAGTTCTGTTTTAGATTTGAAGGTTGAAGACTTAAATCTTATTACTTGAGGCCTGTTTAAAGCTTGTTATTTTATATGACATACTGGTTTTTACTGTACTGGAATATTAATTGTATGTTGACTTCTTATTCTGTCCATCTTCCCACCTTTAGCATTATGCTTCGGCAGACACATGTTTGAGTGCATTTGAGGCCCCACTTGATCCAAGCACGGTGTTAGGAGGATTTTTTGGGAACAATTATTCAGAGGTAATAACTTTATCCATTTCCTAAAAATCTGATTATATTCTTATCCTTTGCTTTTGTTTCAATTTCAGGCTTCTGCATTTGTTGTTACATATCCAGTTAATAATGCAATAGATGAAAATGGAAAGGCAGTGGCTTGGGAAAAAGCTTTCATCCAGTTAGCGAAGGTTTGAGAACTGCACAATTCCTTTTTGTGTTCCTTATGAATGATATCTAAATTTGTTTAACGTGTTCAATTTAAAGTATTATTTGATAAATTTAGGGTCTACATATTTGTTGCAGTAATGGAGTTTTTTAATGCAATATTTTGTTATTGAACTTCCATGATATGATATATTGTTGCATTTTTGTTTATTGATGTTCAATTGTTTACCGCTGATGAAGGTAATGTTGTGACTAGAGCGTGATTGAATTTGTTTGATTTGGCAGTAATTTGCTTGCATTTTTTTACGTAATATACTCAATTTAGATGGTTGGATGCCCATTAAATTTTGATGAATTAAAATTGACAGGAGGAGCTGCTACCAATGGTGCAGTCTAGGAATCTTACTCTTTCATTTTCATCTGAAAGTTCAATTGAGGAAGAACTTAAAAGAGAAAGTACAGCAGATGTCATCACAATATTGGTAAGTCACAATCAAAGTCTTCTTCATATTAGTCAATTTATTGTTGTGAGTACCCTTTTCCATTTAATTCCTATTATTACTTGTCGATTGGTCGTACTCTTCGATTTCTCATCTTTTCTCCCATTTTCTCCATCTCCATCTCAGGCAAGCTATCTTGTGATGTTTGCCTATATATCTGTGGCACTGGGAGATGCATCTCGTTTATCTACTTTCTATATCTCATCCAAGGTATGAATTCAGTTTGGCCTAAAGTTATCATCCACTATATTTTGATATAGAATTTTTTAGATTTGGTCTTGGTAAAGTAATATAGATTTTCACCCATGCTCTAGTTTAAGATGTTGAAAGCATGGGATAGCCTACTATAATTAATATAGAAGATTTTAGAGATGGTCTTGGTAAAGTATTGTGATCAAACTTATGGAGAAATGAAGTTCTTTTGTGCTTAATTGTTACCCCTAGGTGAGCAATTTTTTATTAGAAGGAAAAAATTCATTGACATCATTGTTTTGTATATTAATAAATGGTTAAAAAAAACCTTTACTGAATTTTTTATTCTATTGTCGAAAACATCTTCTATAAAACATATTCACACTTATGCGCACATGCTGGCATAGCATGTGCATGTAAATTAACATTTTCTTGTATCTGTATCTATGTAATCAAGATTATTGGTGGTGTTTAGTATATGCAACTCACATTTGATCTAATGGTATACATTATACAGGCGTTGCTTGGTCTTTCTGGAGTTATACTGGTTATGCTTTCTGTCCTTGGATCTGTTGGAGTTTTCAGTGCCATTGGAGTTAAATCTACATTAATAATAATGGAAGTTATTCCTTTCCTTGTCTTAGCTGTAAGTTTATTTCCAAATATTTTGAATGTTGCTGTTTTCTTATTTTTTGGTTTATAGATTTTACTTGCCTGATTTAATTCATTATCATGTTGTGGCCATCTCCAATTATAATATGTTTTGTGCTTCCTTCAAAATTTAATCAGGTCGGAGTGGATAACATGTGTATATTGGTTCATGCTGTTAAACGTCAGCCATTGGAGTTACCTTTAGAGGAACGAATAAGCAATGCACTTGTTGAAGTTGGGCCATCCATAACACTAGCTAGTTTATCTGAATTTTTGGCCTTTGCAGTTGGAAGTTTCATTCCTATGCCCGCATGCCGTGTCTTCTCCATGTTTGCAGGTCAGGTCCAAATATTCTCTCCTAATCTTGATAGATTAACTTTGAAACCTTTAAATGCTTAGCGCTTGACCTCTGTTAACACTGGTGTTCCTGTAGCTTTGGCTGTTCTACTGGATTTTCTTCTGCAAGTTACTGCCTTCGTTGCACTGATAGTTTTTGATTGTTTGAGAGTTCAAGATGGTAGGATTGACTGTTTTCCATGTATAAAAATTCATTCCGCTTATGGAGAATCCGATGAAGGTAATTGTTTAAGCAATCACATCGTCCTTGCCATGTGTTCTTTAAATCTGTTAATATTAAATTATAGTGTTAGATTTCTCTTTTATTAAATACAATCAGCTCTGATCAAATTATTTTGGTTAAGTGTAGGCATGAATCCAAGAGCACCTGGACTGCTGGCACGGTTTATGAAGGTATGTATCACGGAATCTCTAAATGAATATTCCTTGGTAACCACAGAGACTTATTCTTCATTTTAAGTGCAAAAGGTAGCTTTATTGAAAAGATCAAAATATATTCTATTGGATTATGTTGAGAGTAGTAATTTCTTTAGGGGTAAAACATGGGAACTCATCTATATTTTTGTGTCGTCTCTATCAACATAATTATTACTATATTGTAGGAAGTTCACGCTCCATTTCTTGGATTCTGGGGAGTGAAAATGATAGTCATTGCCATATTTCTTGCTTTCACTCTGGCAAGCATTGTAAGTTGCTCATGATTACATAGCTACTTTTCTCTAATCCTTTTGTATTAGTAAGTTATTGTTTTCATATATATATATATATATTTGGTATCTTGAAAATTTTATATTAGCATTCTGATTTTTTTTCATTTTTTCTTAATAGGCACTATCTACAAGGCTTGAAGCTGGTTTGGAGCAACAGATCGTGCTTCCTCGGGATTCTTACCTTCAGGTTCAGAGTACTCTTAGCCTATTTATGTCATTTGATTTTTTATTATTTTTATGTTCACCTTTTTCAGGACCTCCTACTTACTGTCAAAATCTTATTTGCATCAGGGATATTTCAATGATGTCTCTGAATATCTTAGAGTTGGACCTCCATTATATTTTGTTGTGAAGGATTTCAACTACAGGTATTGGTCTGGTTGTTATATCATACACTTTTTTTGTCCACTTTGATCCTATTTTATGCCATCTTTTTTTAAAAGAATGATGTATATACAAGGTTAACATAGATTAGAACACAGAGGTATGATTGCTGATAATTTGACTCAGAGTTTAGTCATGTAAAGATGACGGGAAAAAGTTCTTATAGACACCCCCAAGTAGTTGGTATTAGGGCTTGGTTGAGTCGTTTCTGTGTCCTTTAAATAATGTTTGTCTATTGTTTTATTGTTAACCCAACCAAGCACAATAATTGACATAAAGCTTCTCCTGATGTTAAACGGCTTTCATACTCAGCTTGGAATCAAGACAGACAAACCAGTTATGCTCCATCAGCCAGTGTGATTCAAACTCTCTTTTGAATGAGGTAATATTTTCACTTAAATATTGGATCTTAAACGTCACCTTTTACTCCTAAGACATGTGACATACATATCAAGATTTTGCCTGAGTAGTTTTATACCCTTACTGGTGTTTAAGTTCCAAAAATCACACTGTATATACTGCTTGAAAGTTAAGCATAGTTTTGTTGCCTATTAGTATTCAGAGTCCTCTACCAAATCAGAATATAGGTGATGGAACATATGAGAAAGTCATAGGCTGCAATTGTAATTTGATGATAATTTTTTCTTCTCATGTTTAACTATAGTTCAAATTTTTTTTTTTCTTTTCTTTCTTGTGTACTAATATTCAATGTATTTTTTCCATTTCTCAGATATCAAAAGCATCGTTAATTCCAGAGTCAAGCTACATTGCTAAACCAGCTGCTTCATGGCTTGATGACTTTCTCGTATGGACATCTCCAGAGGCTTTTGGCTGCTGTAGGAAATTTTTGAACGGCACTTATTGTCCACCTGATGATCAGGTTTGCGCTCCTGTCAAATGTGCCACTTTAAAATTGATCATTCGACATTATTATCTTATTCCACACCCCATATACCAATCTACAGTGCATATATACGTCAATGATCTAGTTAGTGTTGTGCATTACTATGGTCCTTGTAAATTATTAATCAGTTTCTTATATTCATAGCATGATTTTCATAACTTCTATTTTCTAACTTTAAGCCCTATTCACCTGGTTCAATTTGGTTTATAAGTGTTGGATGTACCATTAGATTACTAAAGCATTAATTCTTTTCTCCAGCCACCTTGCTGTTCACCTGATGAAGGACCTTGTGGCATAGGTGGAGTCTGCAAAGACTGTACAACGGTAATCCTCTCCTCTTGTGTGAACGGCTGGACATCTTTTTATATTTTAGAAGCATTATCAAATACAAGTTGCTTTATGCTTGCTTAATCTACTTTTCAGTAATATCAAATTGAAGGTTTTAAAGAAGAAACAAAAGAAGATAATGTGAGGAAGATACTCTTATTTTGTGGGATAGAGTTAGTTTGCTAGCTTCTCTTTGGGCTTCGATCTCTAAAGCTTTTCAAGATACTTCCTTTTTCTTTATTCACCTAGATTGGGGAGGGGTTTTGGTTTAATTTTGTGCTACTGACATTGATTTTTGAGTTGTATAAGCTTTTGTTTAGTTGTTCAAACTTTACTGTATAGACTTTTGTGATCCTTTAGATGGATTCTTTCTTTTGTGGACACCTTGTCTCTTTTTAATCTTTTCAAGTAATGATATCTTTTAGTTTCTTCTAAAGGACTTCCTTTTGGTTCGATTCCAGTGCTTTCGCCACTCAGATTTGGTTAATGATCGCCCGTCTACGGCACAATTTAGGGAGAAGCTTCCGTGGTTCCTCAACGCACTGCCATCTGCTGATTGTGCAAAGGGTGGTCATGGGGCTTACACCAACAGTGTGGATCTAACTGGTTAGTAAAACAAGAAGTTTTTTCTTTTTGTATTTAGATAATCTTCTTCTGGTTCTTATTTGGTAATTATGTAGACCCAAAGCCTCCCTAATCAAATGAGTGGGTTGTTTTAATTTTTTTATTTCTAACTTGTTGACAGGGTATGAGAGTGGTGTTATACGAGCATCAGAGTTTCGTACATATCACACACCACTTAACAAACAAGTATGGCAGCACCTTGATACTAGAATTGTATTTGCTCTGTTTGCATAGATGATGTTGAATGTTTCACTTTTGTTGGACTGTGATTTTCTTCAGGGTGACTATGTTAGTTCAATGCGAGCAGCAAGGGAGTTCAGCTCAAAAATTTCTGATTCTTTAAAGGTTTAAAATTAACTCTCCAGAGCAATTTTATACGTTTTAGCCTTCATTGTTCCAGGACTAAGCTCTGTGCAGTCTTTTTGGAGCAATTTTTTGTATAGTATGCTATTTTGTTTCCATCAAGGATGGCTAGTAGATGATGATATTGGTGGCTAGCTTACTTTTCATTTCGTTTATACTCTATACATGCCATCATGTTGGAGGTCTATCTTTTCAACATGGTTAAGGGTTAATTTCTCTGGCTGCTTCTCATCTTTAGTTTCGCATGCCTATATATTGGTGGCTAGATTGATTTTTATTTCATCTATACTCTACATGCTATCATGTTGGAGGTCTATCTTTTCGACATGGTTAATGGTTGATTTGTCTAGCCACCTCTCATGCTTAATTTCCTATGCATATATAACATACTGTGCTTGTCGCTGAGGTGGTTAATTAGTTTCTTCTGTGTCTAAGTTCTTATGAACTTCTCGAACAAAGTGTGCCTATCCTTGACTGGAAGGTGGTTGTATCAGTTTCTTGTAAATTGAGTTCTAATTAGAGGTTTCCAGCCCATTCTGCTGGTAGTCCCTCCCATGTTCTAAAACTATGTTGAACTGCAGTACCCCTGGTTGCGAGTTCTGCAGTTATGCCAATTTTCATAAATACAAGTAAAATAAAAAAAACTTATAACAGTACATGGAGATAGTATATAATTATGGTTCCTGTTTTAATAATTTTCTTGTGGTGCTGCATCAGTTGTTTGCATGTTAGCCCATAATTCTGTGGAAATGGTCTGCTGCAATATTATTGCTGTAATGCTGTACTGACATCTCTTTTCTGATGTAGATCGAGATCTTTCCATATTCTGTGTTCTATATCTTCTTTGAGCAATATCTGGATATTTGGAGGATTGCTTTGATCAACATTGCTATAGCACTTGGTCAGTATTGCAAATGATTATAGTGTCAATTCTATGTCTTCAAAGCTAGTTTTATTTTATATTAATAGATTTTCTAGATTACTGTGTTAACTATCCTCTTCAACTCTCATTCTTTTATTACATTCTGATACCGCAATATGGTCTAGTCTTTTGGTGCTTCGTATTGCTGGATTAATCAAGATGCTGCTCATGATATTCATCTTGTAATTTTAACATAACTTTTCTTTTTCAATCTTTGTCATGAAGGTTGTGTCTTTCATGGAAGTATTTGCTATCCAGATTTCAATTACTTTTCTTTAATCTTTTTAGTTCTGTTTCGAGATATTTTTATACTGTATTATCTTTGTTTATTATCTTTGTATTATTGCTTTTTTATATGTTCAAGTTGCATTTTCATATTTTAGTATTTTATTAATTTTGTTTTTATCTAACTGAGTATCTTATCTGTTAATAACAGGTGCTATATTTATTGTTTGTCTGATTATTACATCCAGGTCTGATATCCTCTCCTGGTCCTCATTTTACATTGTTTACATCTAAATCGTTTTTCCTTCTTAAATTACATATTTTCACTTTTTGTTAATGTTTGTTTCTGTCTAAATCAGTCCGTGGAGTTCAGCAATCATTCTACTTGTATTGGTCATGATTGTGGTGGATCTCTTGGTAAATGTCTGCTTTGACTATTATACATAATGTTCCATATATTTTTCAATTTGTAGAAGACTTATTCCTTATTGGATGCTGTAGGGCGTCATGGCAATTCTGGATATTCAACTGAATGCAGTCTCCGTTGTAAACCTTATAATGTCAATAGGGATTGCTGTTGAGTTTTGTGTGCATATAGTGCACGCCTTCTTGGTTAGTATCAGTGCTTACAGCAGTAATTTTTTAAGCCTCTTATTATTTACATATTGAAGTTTTTCATTCAGAGGATGGAGATGGTCATGGTTGTATTATCCTTAGTCATGTGTACCTATGCAATTTGTCTGAAGTTTTCATTTGTCTTGTTATTATATCAATTTTTGTGGTATGAAAGAGGAGCATCATGTTTCTTCACACGTAATAGTTCACCTAAACCTCTTAAAATTCCTATTTAACATGTATCTCTTGACAAACATTTTCACACTGCAATAATATAGATCTCATTGATTACTTATAATGCAGTGATATTACAATTCGCTGCTGTCCTATGCAGGTAAGCCATGGGAATAGGGACCAACGAATGAAAGAGGCTCTGAGTACAATGGGAGCTTCCGTCTTCAGGTTAACCATCTATTTTATTTTCTTTGTCCAACCTGTGCTGATGCTTATAGCTTGATGATATGGTTACATCTTTTGTTTTGTTTTGTTTTTTATTTTTTATGTGATAAGATATATTTGGTGTAAATTATAGGTGGCAATTTGTACACTTGATTATGTTGTTTTGCCTTTTTGGTGGATAACTTTAATTGTCCGGTATTTGTACCAGATTGTGTCTTTTTAAGTCTGTTATCGAAACCTTTAGGTGTCGTGAATTTTTTACCTCAGTCTGATTTTACCTCCACAAACCTTCCACGCGGGACAGCAGGACGCTAAAGAAAATGTTATGCAGTTTCTATTTTACATGAGCTATTCTTTCATCTTTTTTAATTTTGAACATATTTATAATACCTTTTGTTTTACTTAATCATAGTAACTCTTGATCTATTGGCCATGGCTTTGAGCGGAACTGGAATTGTCTTCCTATAGAATGATCAATTCACAATTCCTTGGCTTTGTTATCATTTCGTTTTTACATTTTTACTCCCTACAAATTAAAAGTTCTACTTTGGCTTGGACTTGGCAGTGGAATTACGCTCACAAAACTTGTTGGAGTAATTGTGCTTTGCTTCGCAAGATCTGAAATTTTTGTGGTCTGTGATCTTTCCCTCTCAGTTTCCATTCATTTTTGCTATCCTTGTGGATTAAAAATAGTTTTTGTCATTTTGCAGGTTTATTACTTCCAAATGTACCTCGCTTTGGTTCTCATTGGTTTCTTGCACGGGCTTGTGTTTTTACCGGTAAGTAAATCACACTTTACCCGTCATCAGCTCTTTATCGCTAAGATTATATCAGTGCCCTCAGATTTCCCATTTCATTGTGCTTTGAGTTGTTTGATCATTGAATAAGTAATTGTCTTTGTCTCATCAAATTTATGCCTGAAACTATACAAGAACATTGCCATACAGCTTGGTTAGATAAAAAATTTATAACATTGGTTTTGTGGGTTGCAGGTGGTATTGAGTTTGTTTGGTCCACCATCAAGGCATGTAATTGTTGAGAAAGTGGAAGTTGAAGAGCCCTCTACATCTGCAAGCTTGAGTTAATTTATGATATGTTCCATTTTAGTATTGTTATTACAACTCAAATGAGTCACATTACATTTTATCATGTAAATAAGAAAGACAGTCTACATTTCACAACCTAAATATTGGGACATTCTTTTATTTCATACTCTCTCACAGATCAATATTTACCTATTATAAAAAAGAGATTATAGATATTTTTAACTATTTGTTATGTTCAATTCGATGTATTAATTTTAAGTCCATATAAAGGAAAGTAGGAATCAGATTGCAATAGTTCAATATTAATACTATGTATTAGATTTATAAAATATTTTACAAATTTGACGTTTTTAATACGAAGAAAATATAAATTTTCAACTATCTTTGGATGGTCGAGTGATTTGATAGGGACTCTTGGGTATGTTACTCAAGAGATTCTATATTCAAGTTATTCTTCAGATGTTAATAGGGGTAATTACTAAAACTCTTATTCGATTGATATTTCTTCAAATTTTTCCTCGNACTCTCTCACAGATCAATATTTACCTATTATAAAAAAGAGATTATAGATATTTTTAACTATTTGTTATGTTCAATTCGATGTATTAATTTTAAGTCCATATAAAGGAAAGTAGGAATCAGATTGCAATAGTTCAATATTAATACTATGTATTAGATTTATAAAATATTTTACAAATTTGACGTTTTTATTACGAAGAAAATATAAATTTTTAACTATCTTTGGATGGTCGAGTGATTTGATAGGGACTCTTGGGTATGTTACTCAAGAGATCTTATATTCAAGTTATTCTTCAGGTGTTAATAGGGGTAATTACTAAAACTCTTATTCGATTGATATTTCTTCAAATTTTTCCTTGGATATTAACTGGGATAGTCATTGAATTCTTACTCGATAGGCATTTATAAGGTTTTTGGGGATTAATTGAGATACGTGTTTACATTTTTAGGGTTTTGAAAGATTAGTTGAGGTACGTATTTGTAATTTTATGATTTCAGAGGATTAATTGAGACGTGTGTTTATAATTTCATGATTTTGAGGGATCAATTAGTTGAGATATATTTAAATTGACTGGGAAGTTAAAACCTCCTATCATAAAATATATCCCCTCTAATAGATTTAATAATTAATACTCATTTTCTAAACGGGCAATACTTAATCATATTTATTTATTAAATTAAATTAAAAGGAAAGGATCATAGAAACGCAATCTCTCTCTCGCGCCACTTCAACCCAAGAAAACCAACGAACAAACTAATATTTCAACTGTGGAGACCCAGCAGTCCGTGAGACTTCAATGGAGCAGAGCACCAAACTCACAAAAGCTCTGTTTAAGAACAGGAACAATCCAAAACTAGCATGGCAACTCTTCAAGCGTATTTTCTCTTCACCCACAACCGATCTCCCTCTTAACTCCATTCCTGCCATTGCCCACATCCTCATTTCCTCAAAGATGTTTCAAGAACTCGACACACTTCACAATCTCCTCCTTTCTTTAAAACCCCAAGAAATTTCTCATTCTTCCCTTATTTCACTTGTTAAGATCTTGGCTAAAGCTGATTTGTTCGATAAAGCTTATACGCAATTCAAAGCCATACGCATTCATTTGCCTGAAAGCCCGCCTTCTATCTATTTGTATAATGTTCTCTTCCAAGGTTGTATTAGAAAAAGTCGTATAGATTGTCTCTTGTGGTTGTATAAAGATATGGTTGTTGCTAGGGTTTCTCCGGAGACTTATACTTTTAATCTTTTGATTCGTGCGCTTTGTGATTCGGGTCATTTGGAGGACGCGAGGGAGTTGTTTGATAAAATGTCTGAGAAGGGTTGTATACCTAATGAGTTTAGTTTTTCGATTTTGGTTCGTGGGTATTGTAGAGCTGGCCGTGCTAGTGAGGGTTTGGAGGTTTTGGATTTGATGACGGTGTTGGGGGTTTCTCCGAATAGGGTTGTGTATAATACTTTGATTTCAAGTTTTTGTAGGGATGGTAAGACTGATGATGCTGAAAAACTGGTAGAGAAGATGAGAGAGGATGGCTTGTCTCCGGATGTTGTGACTTTCAATTCTAGGATATCGGCTCTTTGTAGGGTGGGGAAGATTCTTGAAGCTTCTAGGATATTTAGAGATATGCAGATAGATGAAGAGTTAGGACTACCAAGGCCTAATTCTGTAACATATAATTTGATGCTTGAAGGATTCTGCAGGGAAGGAATGCTGGAGGAAGCTAAGACCATGGTTGAGACCATTATAAAAAATGGTGGTTTATTGAACTTGGAGAGTTATAATATTTGGCTGAAGGGTTTGGTCAGGAATGGGAAGCTTCTAGATGCTGAAGTAGTTCTTAAAGAGATGGTAGATAGTGAAGTAGAACCTAATATATATACATATAACATATTGATGGATGGGCTATGCAAGAATAGAATGCTCTCTGATGCAAGGATGGTTATGGGTTTAATGAGAAGCAGTGGTATTTCCCCAGATACAATAACTTATAGCACTTTACTCCATGGATACTGCAGTAATGGGAAGGTACTTGAGGCCAACAATGTTCTGCATGAGATGATAAGGAATGGCTGTTTTCCTACTACTTATACATGTAACATTCTGCTGCATAGTCTTTATATTGAACGGCGGATATCAGAAGCTGAGGACTTGCTGCGAAAAATGAATGAAAGAGGTTATGGTTTTGATACCGTGACCTGCAATATTGTCATTCATGGTCTGTGTACTGGTGGAAAACTGGACAGAGCAATTGAAATTGTAAATGAGATGTGGAATCATGGAAGTGCCGCTCTTTTTAACTTGGGGAACTCATTTATTGGCCTAGTTGATGATAGTAATAGCAGGAAGAAATGCTTGCCTGATTTGATTACATATTCAACCATAATTAGTGGTTTATGCAATGCTGGAAGGCTTGACGATGCTAAAAAGAAGTTCATTGAGATGATGGGGAAAAATTTGCAACCTGATTCGGTGATTTATGATACTTTTATACATAGTTTCTGTAAAGAGGGAAAGATATCATCTGCATTTCGAGTACTTAAAGACATGGAGAAAAGAGGTTGCAGAAAGAGTGTACAAACTTATAATTCATTGATCCTGGGGTTAGGAAGTAAGAATCAAATATTTGAAATTTATGGACTGATAGATGAGATGAGAGAAAGAGGAGTTTCTCCTAATGTTTGCACTTATAATAATATAATTAGATGTCTCTGTGAAGGGGGTAAAATAGAAGATGCCACTTCCTGTTTAGATGAAATGCTGCAAAAGGGCATACCTCCTAAAATTTCTTCGTTCAAAATGCTAATAAGATCCTTAAGTAAAGCAAATGATTTTAGATTAGCACAGGAGGCATTTGAGACTGCTTTGAGCGTATGTGGCCACAAAGAAGGCCTTTATAGCTTAATGTTCAATGAGTTACTTGTGGCAGGGGAAATCACCTCAGCTAGAGAGTTATTTGAACCTTCATTAGATAGATCTTTTGATTTGGGAAACTTCCTATACAAAGATCTCATCGACATACTTGCTAAGGATGATAAGTTAGAAATAGCTAGTGGCATCCTGCATAAGATGATAGATAAAGGATATGGGTTTGATCCTGCTTCATTCATGCCCGTAATTGATGCTTTGGGTAAAAGGGGAAACAAACATGAGGCTGATGAACTTGCAGAGAGGATGATGGAGATGGCTACAGACAGTAAGGTGGTAAATAAGGTTCATCAAAGTACCAGGGAATTAGTTGACAGAAAAGAAAATAAGCATGGTGGAAGTGATTGGAAGACAATCTTGCACAGGTATGGTTGATAAAAGTACTTTGTGATTCAATTCTTCAGACTTTTCTGCTCTGATCTCATTGATCCTTCTGGTTCTTGGTACTAAATTCAGACTTCAATTAATCTTTTATTTTTTCTTGAGATAATGCTAAATGATTTAGTTTTGAAGGAATTTGTTTGCATGATGTCTTTTTTGAGAAAATTTTGGGTAAAGTAATAATATGCCAATTGCATTCTGATATATTTATCTAGTAGCATGGAGGGGTATAAATTAACTCAGTGGGAATTAATTAGGTGATCCTCATATCTGATTCTTTTTTTCTTTTTCTGTATTTAATGGGTTAATTCACTTTAATGTATCAAGCTTTACTGCTGGAGATGGCTATGCAGCTTGTGCCTCTTCCTTTTTTTTTTTCTTTTTCTTTTTTTTTTTTTTTTTTTTACTGATGTTGTACATTTTACCTAATCTTTCACAGAGATGATGGCAGTGGCATTGCATTGAAAACTCTTAGGCGAGTACAGAAGGGCTGGGGTCAAGGAAGCTTACCAAGTTTCCATCCCCAGAAATATAACTTCCTTGATAATTGGGACGCTGGTAATGGAGTTTCATAATTCCTCAAGATCTGTGTTCATTATTTGCTCTCTGTTGAGAGGACCAACTGAATGCCAAGATCAACGACCATTTGTTAGAACTAAGGTATGGTTATAGTGCTTTAATTTCACTTAATTGCCATTCGTAGCAGCACTTCATAATTTGTCCTCCATCTATTGTAGACTCAGAGGTAGCTTTTCATTTTGTGGTTGTTCCTCTGATTGTTGAAATCAGGGTCTCCTCACATGCTGGTATTAGAAGCATCAAAACAGCAAATGATATGGTGCAAGTTGTGAAGGACTGCATTCTGAACACCTCTTCCAGTACACTGCTTCAGTGTCACCAGCATTCGGTAATGAATCTTTTCTTCCCCTTCTTGTGCAATTGTCTTTTACCACAAGTTTTCAGTAAACATCTAACAGCAATTTTGTTGTTTTATTTATTTTTTGTGTTTGGTCTTGTAGTAAAAATCATTTGGCAAGGTCGATGGAACACAAGCATATTTTCTTGCTGTAAATAACATCTGGCAAGGTAGATGGAACCAGCATTTTGTTGTCTAGCATATATTCTTACTATGCCTTCGTATTTTTAAGTGTGTTGGTTTTGGCCACTCATGATCATCACTTCTATCTTTTGCAGGTTCATTGCTTCTTGATGTGCTTGTTGTGCCTTGAGGAAGTTTCCGATACTGACTCAAAGTTCACTTGTTATATTGCTTAATTGCTATACTTTTACTTTTTATATACTACACTTCTGCCGAAATTGACCAAATGTCAGCATGTTGATTTAGGCAAAAACAACATGATCTACAATCCAGAATAACAAATAGAATTTCCAAATAAATAGCAAATATCTTGATTTATCTTAACGCTTCTTTCTGCCTTCCTTTTTTTTTCCTTAATTGGGTTCCAATATTCCGTAGTTTCATCTGGCTTTAGTTTTATTAATGGCCTACTTAAAGTGATGCGCAGGGACATGATTCCGCTTTTTATTATTAGAATCTTTTCCAGGTTTTCAGTAGCAGGCCAGCTCCCTGGAAACAAGATGCTGTCCCACTTAAATGGTACTTAAAGTAGGTATTGAAACTTTATAAAGCACATCTTCCAGGTTCCCTGCAACGGTGCGTGTTTCTGATATTATAGTGATTAATATCCCATTAAAGCTTGGGACTTGATTTGGTCCCATCATTTACACCTCAATTATTCCTTGTTCCACTTGTGTTTCTCGAAACTGAATCATGGACCCTCTTATTGTTCTTGGTTGCCACTTATGCCTCTCAACACAACAATCAATAACATCTTTTATCTCTTGCATTGCTTTGAACCTTATGAGTAAGATTTCTGGTAAGATTGTCAAGAAGCTTGATAGTGGAGTTTGATTAACTTGTTTATTTATTTATTTTTTCCATTCCATTGGTTGCAAAAAACCTCTCATTATGAATGGTTAACAAAACTTTGATATAGACTTATCATTCCCATTTCATTTGACTACATTGTGTTCAATGAGGTTCACAGAGAATGATAATTTACCGTACATTCAATGCAGATACTATTAAAAGGAAAGTTACAGTGAATTTGGGGCACCATTGAAGCTTTCAAGCCTCAGGTATTATATCCTTAGAATCATATACAGACATAATAAAGAAAGCAGGTGTGATAATCCACACCATCAATCCTCTTAATCCAATATCTGTCCAGCTAACAAACATCGGCAATTACATGATTCACATGCAGGCAAATTCCTTATTCTGATCCCCATAGTTTCTACAGTTTATTAATACTTTCAAAACACCCAATGATCCATAAAAAGTAGATTCCATGGCTGTTAACGCTAAAATGAAAGTGAAATAATTCCTAATCTACTAATAATTTAACAAGATCTCCCACCATTTCACAAGCTGCTAGCTCCACAACATCCTAACCATATATACTCTTTGAATTTTGCCACCGTGAACAAAAGGAAATCAACCATTATTCTAGGACGGTGCAGAGCTATGCACGACCTTTCCTAATCTCAGGTGAGAAGCTACATGGAGGGAGATCTTGATTGTGTGGCTCTGAGATGATTTATATATGTCTATACACTCCTCTAGGTCGGCATCGCATGTCAAAAGAACCCACTCATGATCATCATCCAGATACTTGAGATCAATTCTGTTGAAATCGTCTATACTAAAACGCTTTGCAATCTCTTGTTGGACATCTTTAAACCGCCAGTTTGGTTGCAAGCTGAACCGTATGTTTTCTTCTCCGAAAGTTGCCTTGATTCTAAAGGTACTGCTATCTCGTGGAGTGTGGTTTCGACCTTTTGGCAAGGGAGGTAGGGACTCAAGATTAACATGCTCACCCAATATTTTATGGCTTTGTGATCTTGCAAGAAGCTTTGGTTCTTCCTGATTCAAGGCGTATAATTCTGCATCACTGCGAGCTCGCTTTAGCATCCCACCAGAGTCTTCTACATTCAGTGCATCTCCACTACTCAAGGCATTGACAGTAGTGCTATTCTGTTTTGCTCCAGTGGAACAACAAGTGCTTGAACCAGAGCTCTGACTGCATGACGAGGATGGGGATTTTGAAACAGTAACACCCGTCCTGAATAAACCAGTGTCAGGTTGGGGATTTAAAGGCTTCAAATGGTCACTTGTCTTCACTGATGAAAAAGGATCATTCCCAGAGAAGTTTGGGGAGTTCAATTCTGGAAAGCTATTATAGAAGGACCCAATTTGAATAGAACCCTCAGCACCTTGGACTGAATCAATCACAAGTTGGAGTTTCCTTAAAGAGTGACCTACCTTCTTGATCTTTCGTGAAGGCCAACGGGTGATCCCGTGTTGCCTGCATATCCTTTTCAGAGTTGTAGGGCACACTGCAATCCGAACAAGGGAAAACAATCAGCACACTGTATGTAGAAAGATCACTGACTGTTATATACGACACGCTACTACTCCATCCTCAAGGATACTCAGAATGGAAGTGAATGTGCATAGCAACTATAAGAGAAAGAGTTCGGTAATTAAGTTCGTAAAAAATGGAGCACTTGGAATGAATCAGAAGTATCTTTTGAAAGACCTAAACATAAATTGCCATTTTCAATTTATTTGGTCAAAGTAATTCCCTTTTCATACTGTAAATACACAGCTTCTGTAAGACTTGGTTTCAACCCACTGCTGATTTGATTACAAGATAATATGATACTGTCATATCCGTTAGATGTCGTAGAAATCTCTTCCAACAAGAGATTATGTCAAAGTCTCTCCCAAGTAGAGAAAAGGTTCTGCTACTAGTAATAACTGGAGTTCAGACGACCCCATTGAGAGCAAGGATTTGGAAGAACATTGGCTCAAAATGCTATTACTACGTGCAATGAACAAAATTAATTATGATTAATGAGAAAACTTGATATTCAAGCTCTCAGGATTTCATAAGTATCAAGTTGGTTCCCCCAAAATCAAAGATAGCAGCAAGTTAGGCCTTAATTATCTGAACCAAATATTCAAAATTTATATCCAATTTAAACAAGATTATGTGATTTCCAACAGTAATTATAAATTTCCCTACCGCCAATACTCTTAGCAGCATCTTTAAGGCTCCCAGCAAAATATTGTCGAAGAACTTGCAAGCTGATCGTCTTCTCTGTCTTGGTCCGCCTCTTCTCTCCTGCCTTTTTGATTCGTTCCAACCGACGGCCACCAAGGGAAGAAGAGTCTCCACCACCCTCAACACTACTTTTGGCCACAGAGTTCTGTTGAAATTGCCCAAGCTCTGGAAAAACCTGCCTATCATATGATTCTGCCTGAGCATCATCCCAATGTGTCGTCACCTTGAACTCTTCTTTTGGGTCTTTATCATAATCCCATGAGACAGAGACACCCTTACCCTTTTGTTGGGCCTCTATCATGTGTGCAACCCACGATGACTGTTCTGGAGATGTTTCTTTTGAAGGGGAAGAAACATCTGAAGCAACTCCCGTTTCCCTAATGGGCAATATGACTTCCTCCAGCTCGTTGCCCATGGAAAGATTTAAAGTCTGGCAAGATTTTTCTATAAACATAGCCAACGAGTTCAGCATCCATTTTTGCTCTTGAGTGTCCTGGCATTCCTTTGGCAAGAAAAATTCCAAGACATATTCAACCGGTCCAGTGTTTGTGCTCTGTAGTGGAATTGCTACAGCAGCACATAAATCAAATAACCGAGCATGATGAGAGAGAGGATAATTTGACTTGCTAAATGCAGTTATGTCAGCTGCAAAACACTGTTTTCCTGTTGAAAATGCTTTGCCAACTAGTCCTTGGCCTTGAAGGAGCTGGTGCTCAGAGCATGCATCAAGAAAGCCTGATAGTTTTTTATTGGCCACGAAGCAAGCAGACTCCACAGTAAAAAAAAAATGAGCATAATTCTCATCAGACTGCACATATCCACCTTCACCTTCACCATCACATGAGACCCACGTCAGAGCTAAAGGCAAACTATGTCTCTGGCAGACAGAAGTTAAAACTTCTGCTATCTCATGCAATCTTGCATGGTATGACTTGCCGCGATCCTATGAAAAAGTAAGAACATCAGTGACCTCAGATAATCATCATAACATTATGGAACATATATAATTCTTAACCAACTACCTACCTTTGCAGAGGGCATGTTGAAATTTTGTGAACTCCTAAGATTAACAGCCTGCAAATGAATATTCTTATTTAGACTAGAATACAAGGTAGTTTACTATACAGGTGATGGAAGAGAAGCATTATAGAATGAGAAGCAATAACCAGAGGTTCTTCTGAAAGGTCTTTTCGGGGACAAAATTGACCCAAAAAAAAAAAAAAAAAAAAAAAAATGTCCAAGGCATTCAACAAAGTACCACCAAAATGTAGACTATGACAATATACAAAGATACCAAGCAAATATAAAAGCTGGTAACAGAATACACTAGAGTCTAATGTCATTTTGACCAAGCAGACTTATTGTCACATCCATCAAGAAGTATGGAATGAGGAAAAAGTTTTCAAAAGCGGGGCAGGCACATTCAGGGATAGCTCATGGAGTCATGAATGGTGTCTATGTATGTATAGACAATCATAAATTTTACAAGCAAATGGCATATACTTTTGGTCATCCATTACACGTTGGCACATGAAATGTAGCAGTTTGTAGCCATCTTTTGCTTTCATTCAACAAATTAATGTAAAGTTTGCAGCTCTTCACATTTTAAGAATAGACTTTTGAACTCTGAAACAATGCAAGAAAAACGAAAAAGAACTAAAAGAAGAGAAGCGAAGGAAAAAGAAGAAAAGACCTCAAGAGCTTGGCAAATATTTTCAAGATCGGGACGATAATTAGTCTTTTGACTGGTTGTGATAATCTCAACAACACCCAAGCAAGTCCTACTGCTTCGTTCAAAAACAGGAAGGGCAAGAGATCCATGAACGTCATACTGTTGTGCATAACCAACCCGTGGGTACTCATCACTTCCAAAAAAACGAACATCAGGAGTGCATTCAGGCAACTTCTGCAAGAAAACTCGACCAGGCAACCCAATCAATTCCTTAGAATCCTCATCAGCTGCAAACTGATAGGCTTCTGAAACATTTCTGTAACTTTCAAGACTCTTGCAATTTGGATCAAGAGAATATGGCTGGCCAACAGTAGTAAGGACATGTCTGCCCTCTGTTCTTACAGGCACCCATATCTGCACAAGGACATTCCTATCTTTTACATACTCTTTCAAACAAAGAATAGCCTGAAATAATCTGTCCTTCACTGACGAAGAAGGACTCGAACTCGCACTAGGTGCAATCCACAAACTTCTGCCTGATTCAGGACCATCAACAGGAAAATTCCCATATTGAACAGAAGTAGTAGTCTCAAAACCGGCAGGGTTTTGAGAATCAGTTTCCTGAAGCTCTTCTGTTTTTGGAAAAACAAGTGAAGGATTTCCACAGAACTTCCTTTCTGTTTGTTCTTGATAGATTTGTCGATGAGGATGTAGGTTTATATTCAAACCAGTATTAGACTCTGAATAAGGCAAAAACTGTGGAACAGCACTGGAACTTGAAGGACCCGGCTGTAAAAAGTCGAATGTATCTGTGGTCTCTAACCAGCATCCTTCCAACAAGAGCTCATCCATGAAATCCAAATCCATGGCAGTATCCGGGAGGGCTCCAAACATTGAATTAGGTGAAGAAGTACCATCATCCATATCGATAATTCTTCAAATTTGCATCTACCAAAGACTAGTAAATCCGAATGTCAAATGGTATTATGAACCAAAACACAATAGTACAGTAAAGATGAAAAACAAAAAGAGGAACTTCCAGGAAGGATTGCTTTTGCCAGTATCCAAAAACCCAATCTGTCCGAGTCGCAGAAACATCGTCAACAAAATTTTGTTTTTGTCAACTGCAATCAGAAATGCATTTTAGCAGGAAGAATACCTAACACACTTTCATTCAACTCATACATAAAACATACAATATAGTCTTTAATCACAAGCTTAAACACCTAAACTTGTGGTTTACTCTAAATCTTGTTCTACAACACGCTAAACTTTCACTCAATACTAATGGAAACCATGAATAAGATTTCGATCATAAATTTGAAAGAACCTAGCATTTCTGGTTGATCTGAAAGAGTTCTGATGCTGAAGGCAATAATAACATCAGTAAACTACAAAATTATATACAGCAAGCCTGAAATTAGATACACAACAATTAAAAAACAGAAAAGCAAGAAATGGAAAAACACAATTCACTGAGAAACACCAAAACTAACAATTGGGCAATGATGTCAGGATTCACAGATTGAACTAAACAACTAATTTAAATGAAAAAGAACACAAACTCACTAACCAAAACTTCAAACTCACAATAATTTCAAACAAAACAAGAAAGAAAGAAAGAAAAAACTCAGTATGACATGAACAGAAGAAAGGAGAAAGTGACTCACTTTATGAAGATTCTTTGAAAAACTTGAGTTGGGTATGTAAGAGTCACTGAAGCAAATCTAAAACTGGGTCAATAAGAAGCAAAACACAAAAAACATCAACAGAAGAAGATTTTTTTCAGTGAAAGTTTTGAGTTTTCTGTTTGGTTTAATGAAGGAAGCCCAACCACATAAAAAGAGAACACAAAGTACAGTACAATTAATTAGAAAACAATTCTCTCACAGTGATTTATTATCACATCGCTTTTGGGGGTCATTTATTATAGTTTCCAGCCATGCGCGTGAAGAATCTTCTCCAGAAAAAGATATTGGTGGGACCTACAAGAATTAACTCCCACTGCAGCTCAGGACATCCTTGTAACTGAGTCTGAAACACACACCCCCGCTTTGATTCTAAGGAAAACAAGTTTAACTTGATCACTTACTCTTCTGTTTTTCATTTTAGAATCACCACTGCCATTATCAAATCCATAAACTTCATATATAAAAATTCTCAGTACAAATGTAATGAAGTTTTTAAAGGTATCGACTAGACAGATTGGAAATTGATTTTGCATTTACATAATAAATAAAAAAAATATACATAAAGAAAGGAGCAAAAGATGATGATGTAAGAAATTAGCTTTAGTTGAATGTTTTAAAACAGGAGCAATGTTTTAATATTGGTGTCTGTGAGTGCAAAGAGATTCTCTGGCTCTGCCCAGTTGCATTTTTTTAGTATAACAAAAAGCTGACTCTGCAGATTTCTGTTTATTTAATGTTTTTACCACCTCTTTTTTTAGAGCCCGTGAGGATTCTTTTAACTTAACCTGTGTTCATGCGGGAGCAAGTTCTCATTTGACTTGAAGATTCTCAGACAAGACAACCTCATAAAAAAGCCAGTCAGAACCTTAACCATGGTTAGTATAACCGGCTTCTATATATAGTAACCCATACGCGTCATCATCTCAACCCATCTTCCTGATCCTCATCATCTGAATTATTCAATGCTGATCTCATCTTTTTAAGAAATCCATGTGTTACAGGAAAAGTGACATTATTACTTCAACTTTCAACGATCTAAAATAAATTTGTGCATCTATTTAATCTCTAGAAAAAAAAAAAAAAGTTCTAATTTTTGTTTTAAATCAAGTAAATTTTCTTGTTGTCTCTCAATGAATTTATAGTATCATCTATATATTCATTCAATGTAACTGTTCCAGAAAATGATATGAGTTAAAATATATATTTCTTTGTTCATTCTACTAAGTAATGTTGGATTTTAAACTGGCAGTCTCTTTAATTAATACAAGTTTTAACGTATGAATTCTTCAAGTTGGATGAAAAGAAGTCAGATTTTACGGCGGATTAGTGAAAGTTACTTGTTTTAATAGTCTGGTTATTGCTCTCACAACAATCCCATGTTGACACTTAACATAGTAGTTATGGTCTAAATTAAATGTGCATGCTTATTATTAATTAAATACTGTTTAATTAAATGCATTAACTTGTAAAGGGTCAGTTTATGCAGAGAAGATTAATGTCCTTAGACTGCCTCTAAGAATTTTGGGGGGCCATGGGCACCCACGGCCCCTTCCTAGTTCCTGCAGGTTCTGCTCGAGTCGCCTCGTCTAAGTAGGATTAATTAATCCAATGAATAACGTTAATGTAAATAATAATAAATTGAATCTGGTAATGGCCTGATGAGTCATGAGTTTGTGATTCCAAATAGCAGAAAGAGAAGATACAGATTTCTGTATGGAGTGACTGCTGCATTCTGATTGCTTGAGCCTGCCCATCCAGGCCCTACTCTTGTTGCTTTTAAGGAAACACAAACAATTTATCAACTCTAATTAAGCTTTATTAATTAAAATTTATCACTAAGATCAACTTGAATAATCAATTATTCACTCTTCATCTCCATACTTCACCTGCAAGTCAATATCATTGTTATCACCAGATCCTGTATCCATAATTCCATCCCTTTTGATTAATAAATAATACATATATAACAATTAATCTATAATTTTGAATCTCTTTTACATAGAATTTATATACGGTTTTTCGATTTTGAGTAAGTGTTTTGTAGAAATGAGTTAATATGTTTCTAAAATCTGTTTTCGACAGATTAAATCAAAAAACAAAACAAGTCAATTTTTGTTTTTTTAGTAGTTTTTTTATAATAATTTTTAACTTTGGAAACAGTTTTTGAATATTATAACAAATACACAAGCCTTTGCATTAAAAATAATTGAATATACATCATGTATATATTTCATTTCAACTATGTAAACTGAAGGGTTGTTTCAAATTGAGATAGTTGAACTATAACTTGAGAGATTTCGTATGAGCAAAGTCTGATGTTGAGTTGATGAGGTCACGATCAATTATCTCTTTCATTAGCATATTATAAGACAGGTAGTGTATATTTTAATGAGTTTACATAGGTCATTGAAAATGAAATGAAGTTACCCCATAACCAGTCAGTTGATGTACTGTAAAGCGCACATTGCGATTAAACAAAACACAAAACCAAATTAAAATAAAGAGATTTATGTAAGTAAAATGATGTTATTCAAGGAAGTGTCGTGGGCGAATTGAATTGAATAATAGCAAATCTTCAATCCTTGAAAGTAAAAATAATGCGAACAAAGGATACAAAATAACCACACATACAAATACAAAATTTATAGTGGTTCACTATCTTTATGAGAGCTACGTCCATTTTGCCGCCGCGAAATTTCACTATAAAGAAGAAGAAAAGAAATTACAAGAATCTCTCACAAGCCTAAAAAATTAGCTCACTCACTAAACCCTATTTAGTGGCTCTCACTCTCTAATTGTGGTTTTGTCTTCTATTCAATTTGTGATATCTAACTCCATGACTTAATCCCTTTTTATAGGTAATACATGGGATACTATTCTTAATAGGATTCAAATCTCATATCTTAATAGGAATTTTATTTTAATTCCTAATACAATTATAATCTTATTCCGAATTATATTCCTAAAGGATTAAAAACAATTCTACATAAACACATATTAGGAAAACCCATATCCTAATCCAACTCTAATTTGTATTGAATTTGGCTCAACAATCTCCCACTTGGAGACTAATTCAACACGTCTTCAATTCTTCACTTCCATCAGCAGCGACATCAACGTTTCTTTCTTCAAGCTAGAAGTCTAACGAAGTTGTACACAACTTCAGTTTCTCAATGATACCACTTTCATAAACATATCAGCTGAATTTTTACTTCCTTGAATCTTCTCGAGAGTTATAACTCTTTCTACCAAAACTAAGCGTATGAAATGGTAACAAACTTCTATGTGTTTTGTCCTAGCATGGTAAACTGAGTTCTTTGCCAAGTGAATTGCACTTTGGCTATCACAATACAAAGCATGTCTATTACAATTCGGACATAATTCTTCTAGGAATCGTTGTAACCATATTAGTTCCTTACTAGCTTCTGTCATAGCAATATACTCTGCCTCTATAATAGAAAGAGTAACAATCTTCTATAACTTTGAAACCCAACTGACTATTATACCACCCAATGTAAAGACATAACATGTGGTACTCTTGCGGTTATCAATGTCACCAGCCATATCAGCATCTACATAAATATCAGCATCTACATAACCTTGTAGCTCTAAGTCTGACTTCCTAAAGCATAATACTGAATTTGTAGTACCTTTCAAATATCTGGGAATCCACTTTACTGCTTCCCAATATTGCTTTCCTAGATTGCTCATGTACCTACTCACAACTCCCATTGTATGTGCTATGTCTAGTCTTGTACACCCCATGACATGCATAAGACTACCAAAAACTTATGCATAGGATACCTTGGCCATGTAGTCTCGCTCATGCTTTGTTGTAGGTAACTGATCTTTGGATAGTTTAAAGTGACTAGCCAAAGAAGTATTTACTAGCTTTGCTTCATCCATGTTGAATCTATTGAGTACTTTCTTCACATACTCTTCTTGTGACAACTTGAAGAAACCTTTGGCTCTGTCTTTGGTAATCCTCATACCAAGGATTTGTTTTGCAGTTCCCAAATCATTCATAGCAAACTCCTTTGACAATTGCCTTTTTAACTTGTCTATTTCCTATTTAAAAGCCCTTGCAATCAATATGTCATCTACATATAATAATAGGATGATAAAAGTTTCTTGAAATAACAACAATGGTCTGCTTGGCATATGAGGAAACTGTTATTACACATAAACCCATCAAACTTCTTGTACCACTATCGAGACACCTTTTTTAGCCTATATAGGCTCTTTTGAAGTTTGCACATTATTCTCTCATTTCCTTGTACTTTAAAACCCTATGGCTACTGCATATAAATTTGTTCATCCAGTTCTCCATGAAGAAATGTTGCTTTACATCTAACTGCTCAAGGTGAAGGTCTTCTTTTGCCACTAACCCAAGAACTGTTCTTATTGTAGTCAACTTGACAATTGGAGAGAAAATTTCAGTGTAGTCAATGCCTTCTTTCTGCTAAAATCCTTTCACGACTAGTCTTGCTTTATATCTTTTATTGTCATCATGTTTATCTTTCACCTGATAAACCCACTTGTTTTGCAATGCCTTCTTCCCTTGTGGTAGCTCTGTCAACTGCCAAATTTGATTTGTTAATAATGAGTCCATCTCATCTTCCATAGCTAGCTCCCACCTAATTGAGTCGTCAACTTGCATTGCTTCCTCATAACACTCTGGTTCACCACCATCAGTTAGTAAAATATAATTCAACGAAGGGGAATACATCTATGATGGTCTTATAATCTTGGAAGATCTTCTAGGTTCGAACACGTGTTTGTGGTTCAACTTCTAGAGCTATATTATCTTCATCTTCCTGTTCATTGTCTTGCATGTCATTCTTTGGGAAGTCTTTCAAAAGAACTACCTCTTGCTTCTTCATTACAGTGTTTGGATTTTCAAACTTTATGTTGAGTCTATCTTTGTACATTACTTCTTCATTGAATATGACATCTCTGCTCCTTATAATCTTGCGGTTCTGGTCATCCAAGAAACGATAACAAACTTAGCGTCACCATAACCAATGAAAAAACATTTGTTAGATTTAGTACCAAGCTTACTTCTAAGAGTAGAGTCAATGTGAACATATGCTAAACAACCAAACACTTTTAAGAAATGATAATTTATCTCTTTGCCGCTCCAAACTTCTTATGGGATCTTGCAATTTAGCAGTACAAAGGGTCCTTTATTGAGCAATAGGCTGCAGTAGTAATTGCCTCGGCCCATAATGTCTATGGTAGTCCAGCATGCAATCTCATGCTTCTTGCACGCTCATATAGGGTTCTGTTAATCCTTTCAGTGACACCATTCTGTTAAGGAGTTGCAGGAATGGTCTTCTCCATCTTGATCCCATTATTGGTACAATATTCTTTGAACCCTTGATCAATGTACTCTCCCCCATTATCAGATCGCAAGCACTTCACCCTTAGGTTTGTCTCATTTTCAACCATGGCTC